TTCCACGGCTTGCCAAATCCCAGATGGAGGAAAGTCTCAGGACCCTCGCGTCGTGCATGCTCCCTGGAAGCCCTGCAAAAACGTTCCAAAACAGTCCCTTTCCATCAACCACAGCTTGCAAGATGAGTCAGTGCCACCCTTTCCGGTTGAAATAGTCTGTGTGAAAGTTTCTGGGTGCTATGATGGGGATGTGTGAGCCATCAATAGCACCCACACACTGTGGCAACCCCCACCTGCTCTCAAAATAGGATGCTATCTCCCGAAATTTACCCTCATCGGGTAAATGAATCAGTTCTGGCAACAGCAATGCTTCTGCAGCAGCACAAAAGTCCTTGACACACTTGGCAACAGTTGAGATGCCAACACCAAACAGAACACTGATGGGTCTGTAATCTGAACCTGTAGCAAATTTCCACAAAGCAATAGCCACAATCTTCCTCAGAGGCACACACTCACGGAAGAAAGTGTCTTTTCGCTGCAATGCTGGCCGCAGTTTGTTGCACAGGAACATGAACGTCTCCTCAGACATTCTGAAGTGCTACAACCACTGCGCTTCCGTGTAATGAGCACGTAATTATCCCACCAGTCAGAGGATCGGTTGAGTGACCAGATCGCGCGTCTGCGGCTGGAGCCTTCCAAAATAGCCATCTAAAAAGATTAAACGTATTTTATTAACTTGAAGTGTATTAAACACGCACGTCAGCATTGGACTTTTAGAAATTACCAGGATGCGTTGTCTGCATTGTCGTAATCGCAGCAATGTGTTGTAATGCTTCAGCATGGCTTCCTGCATGTCTCGGAGACGCTTTGCAGATTTCATTCTCCTCTCATCCCTCCTCAGCTGGCGAAGCCTACGCCTTTCGGCCTGTCTGGCGCGGAGTCTGGCCCCCAAAACGAGCCACAAGCGCAGAACCATGAAAACTATCACCACAAAGTTCTCCATTGTTTACAAGGTGTCAACAACACAGGGCGGCTTGAATAGTCGCTGATATATGACATCACTGACATCTTAGCGCCAATTTCTCCCGCCGATTTCTGGGGACTGCCCCCATGTCCGCATTCCGGAGCAGGGACGTGAGGAGGGTGAGGAATCACTCGGGCCGACCCGGCACAGGTGGGAATGGGGCTTTAGAGGCTTCTGGGTTGCTGCATGATGTGGTCGCCACGATTCAGAGTGCGCGGGCGCCCTCTACCGTTGCATCTTATGCTGCTAAATGGGTTGCTTTCCAGAAATGGTGCACAGAGTGAAATGTTCAAGTACTCTCCTGCCAGCTGGCGGATGACCTATCATTTCTGCAGATACTGATGGACAGGGGCCTCGCATTCAGCACTATTAAAACGCATGCTGCAGCTATCTCATCCTGTCACCAGGGTTTTGGAGATAGATCTGTTTTCAATCATCCCCTCACAAAACGTTTCCTAAAAGGTGTCAGGAGGAACAGACCTGTGTCCCGTCCACTATTTCCCCAGTGGGACCTAACGGTGGTTCTGCGCGGCTTATCTGAAGCCCCATTTGAACCCTTGGACCAGGTCTCACTCAAGTTCCTGTCACTCAAAACTGCCTTGCTGCTGACGCTGGCATCAGTCAAGAGGTTGAGCGACCTAACCGCCCTCTCAGTGGCTCCCGCATGCCTCAGGATCTGGGAAGATGGCGGGTCTGCTGTTTTATGCCCCAACCCAGCCTTTGTGCCCCAAAACATTAATGCTTCCTTCAAATCCAGGTAAATTTCATTGGCTGGAATTTTTCCTCCTCCCCATAATTCTGATGAGGAGGCGGCTTCCCACCTTCTCTGCCCGGTGCGTGCGCTCACGTGATATGTGTCACGCACTTCAGGGATTCGCCGCTCACAAAGCCTGTTTGTGCACTACAGAGATTCTTCCCTTGGGCAAGCGCTGTCGACCCAGCGTCTTTCACACTGGCTGTGTGAAGCCATTTCACTCGCTTACACATCATCAGGGCGGGATCCTCCTGAGACACTCAGGGCTCACTCAGCCAGAGGGATTTCCTCTTCTACGGCGCTCCACAGTGGTGTGTCGATGGAAGACATTTGTCAGGCTGCTTCATGGGCTTCAACCTGTTCCTTTACTCGTTATTATTTACGAGATGTGTCTACAGGATCCATCACTCGTTCAGTGCTTGGACCTCAGCAGGCTGAGTGAAAGCATTATGGCACCACATCAGCCCGACCTGAATGAATTTCATCCTCTTGTGGATGATATTTTTTGAGGGGGCCCCACTCTTCTCTCTGGCTGCTTCAGCCTTTTAAGCCCTGGGTTATGGCTGAGCGACCCTCGCTAAAAGGAGACATGATGGGTGTGTCCATTGGTTGAGCTAAGCAGTGTGGCATAAACCCATCCAGCTGCGCATTATTCCAATAGCAGCTAGCTTAAGGGCTAAGACTAGACGAAATATAACGTTGGTTACGTATTGTAACCCCAGATTCTATTGTAGGAGCTAAAAGCAGTGTTCTGTGTACGTGCAATTTGACATCCTGTTTATCAGTCCAGCTTCTGCGTACGTGCAGTTCAACATCTTGTTTATCAGTCCAGCTTCTGCGTACGTGCAGTTCAACATCATGTTTTTCAGTCCAGCTTATGTAAGTCTTAAGTTCTAGGACCATATTGGGAAGTGAAAACAGCAACCCATCCTTTCCCGAAGTCAAAGGAATGTGGGAGTAAGCGCCAGGAACACGAGTATAACTGATGCTGCGTGTTGAAGGAGAGAGGGCTTTTGCAGAAGGATTCCAGCCGAGGCTAGCTGAGTTCCAGGCTGGGCGCTGCCCCTGTGAGTTGCTGGTGATGTATTGCTGAGTTGTACAAATAAATGCCCCACGCAGTGTTTGGACAAAGCTGTCTATAGTATAGATAGTATAGGTGGTGGTGCATTAAAAAGTATAGATACTAGGGTTTAAAAACACCTCTGTTACAGTTGATGTATTAATTCCAGCCTTCAGTAAAAATAAAAACAAAAAACAAAAATAACGTAAAGAAATTATCATTTTTGCTGCACCACAGTACTACCACACCTGTTCCTAAGGCTATGATTACTACAATGCTGTGTAAAACTTTTAATGTTGAAATATGTGTGATAGGCTTCATTTTTCAGGTGCTAATATGACCTTTAAAATGAGATTTGTTTTTGTCTGTGCAATGCAAACACATTAAAGAACAACACATGGACTACGTGTGTCATAATGGAAGATATGATGTTGTATCGGTCCTAAACAAGGTGTGAGTTTAGCAACTTCATCACACAACTCTATTAATAGGCTATGTTTGTCAAAGTGAAGTTAGCGTGGTTTTGAATGTATCATAAACTATGATGAAGTACAGAAAATTTACCAAACAAGTCTGACTTCAACTCCCACAATGCACCAGCCAAAGAAGCACACAGGAGTAGCTTCTCAGGGCAATTTACCTGTGTGCACAATAACATGGAGGCAGTTTACAGATGAGCAGAGTACTTTGCAGACAAAATAAAATTGTATCACGAGACTGTTCTAATTTCTGTATTATGGAAAATAAAAACATCTTATATTCTGTTAAAACAAATTAGTAATTGCACATTTCCTGACTATTCTTCTTTTCATTTCTAATATTTTTGTATTGACCAGTAAAATGAACAAACACACACCAACCAGAACAATTGTGATGTTTTTCAATTGAAAACTTTAGACCTACTTTATGAATGACCGTTGGATATATTTTCTTGCCTGTAAATTGTTCCTAAATTAAACTGCTTTGAGTGCAAAATACATTTTGAATCTGACATGAAAAACTGGAAAAATCTTGCATTAATTTAAAAGTAAAATATTTTCAACAGTTATCCATGGAAATAATTATGATTAACAGAATCATTGAACCTTATTGTGAAACATCACCACCTGGTGGACATATCTAGTAATTAACAGAACCTTCCTGAAGACTGTGGACCTCATCCTGTTAGAATATAAAGCTGAGACAATCCCACTGCTGGGACAGAAAGCTAAACAGAAGAGAACCAAGAGCTGAACAAGGATTATTCTCACCAGAAGACTAAACAACCATGATGTCTTCTCATGCAGAGAGATCTGCTCTCAGACCAATGATGGACCTCTACTGGCCCGTTCGCAGTCTGTGGCCAGAGGTCAGACCTTTGTTCTACCCGCAAGATGTCCTCCAGAGAACCCTACAGCAGCTGCACAGCAGCCTGGAGCTGATGGACAGATTTCAACACCAGATCCTGGAGGACACAGAGCCTTTCAGGAGCACACTGGTCCACAAACCAGTCTCCTACCAGCTGGACAAAGAGGGACAAGACTTTGGCCTGACACTGGACACTCAAGGCTTTTCTCCAGAGGAGCTTTCAGTCAAGCAGGTGGGCAGGAAGCTGAGAGTCCGTGGAAGGACAGAGAAGAAGCAAGAGGACGGGAAAGGCTCCTACTCTTACAGACTCCAGGAGTTCAGACAGGAGTTTGATCTGCCTGAAGGGGTGAACCATGAAGCTGTCAGCTGCTCCCTTTCTCCAGATGGAAAGCTCCACATCCAGGCAGCCAAAGTTCCAAGTGTTGAACAGGCTGAGAGAGAGCTGCCTATCAAGAGGAGCTCGGAGGAGGAAACACAGCAGAGTGTGTGTTCACAGGCAGAAGACAGCCGACCAGAGACATCCAGCAGGTCCTAGAGCTCCAGCCTGGGTCATGGACCCATGCTGTTGTGACAAGAAATCTATCTATCTATCTATCTATCTATCTATCTATCTATCTATCTATCTATCTATGTATCTATCATCTATCTATCATCTATCCATCTATCTATCCATCTATCCATCTATCTATCCATCCATCCATCCATCCCTCCATCCATCCATCCATCCATCCATCCATCCATCCATCCATCCGCATTTTGTAAATTAATTTATGTACAAACAAACCAGAGAAAACAAATTCATTGCATATTTAAAAATCTTTAATGTTTATCCCTCTTTTTCATTTCTAGTTTTATAAAGAGAAATGACCAGTTTGAATATTTAAGACATTTTTATTGTAAACTCAACACATTCACAGTGATGTTATCAACTCTATAACAAATCCAGTTTAAGAATACTGCAAGTAAACACCAGAGATTAACCTGAGCCTTTTTCCACAGTAATAAAAACCAATATCCTTTTGGAGCTGTGTTTTAGCGACTTTAACCATCCTCCCGCTCCTCTGTTATGGTACGATAGTGCTGCGGCAGCGTTTCAACAACAGGAGTGTCTGTTTTGGGAAACAGCGCTGGTCGACTTTTAATGCGCAGAAATTTTCCAGAAGTAACCAGATCACCATAGCCTTGGGCATGTGAGAAGGCATAGCCCGACCGACGAGTGCTGATGCGCCTGGTGTAGGGACGGCGAGGAGCAGGCTCTGGCAGACCTTTTCGGGCCTTACATCTCACCTGGGGAAGACAGCGGGACACAAAACAGGTTAAAGGCTGAACTTGCATAAAATGATCTCAGAAAATGTAAAATGACAAAACCATCTTCCTGTCAAGAACACATTCCATGTTTTAAACCCATCAATCTCTCATTTGGGTTGAAACCAAACTAACCATAGCAATAACATTAATAGCATCGTATCTCCAGGAATTATTGTTGTGTTGTTGAAATAAACTTCTCAATCCAAACCAGATGCTTATTTTTCTGTTATTTAAGGTTTAATTTTTTTACTTTTTACTTTTCGTACTTAAGTACTTTTTGGAGCCTGTATTTTTATTTTATTTTTTACTTAAAGAGGCATTATGGAAGTTTGACAGCCAAAACATGTATAGAAATAATAAATTTCTTCTTCATACATTCTGCAATGCCATGGTCCTGTAGAATGAGCCCTGGCATTTTTACTCTGATTGCCTGTTTTTCTGTAAAATCACAGAAAAAGAGAGCTGCTCGGGTCGAGCAGGCTGCTTTATGCACGTTCACAATCAGGCATAGCCCGTAGCATTTGCTATCCGTAGCTTTAGCAGCAGAGAGTGAGGTAGTGCCAACTCAGCGACTTTGTCGTTGTTCCTAACGCCTAGTGACAAAGCTAGCTACATTTCTGAGGACCCTTAGCTACTTTTTGTAGAACGTTCTTCTAGATACTTCCTGCAAATTAGCAACAAAATAGCCATTTTCGCTCCGAACCGTTCTTTGAACGTTGTTTCAGCTGTCATCAAGGATATAAATGTTACAGATACAAAGGATGTCACTGGTGATTTAGCTCACCTAGTAAGATGTTGGACTCTCGTGCAGAAGACCTGGGTTTTATTCTGGATGTGAACATCGTTTATTTAGAGCTTCTTTGTTACATTAATGGAGGGTTACCGGGGTCCCACCCTGGAGCAGGCCTGGGGTTGGGGCCCGTGAGCGAGCGCCTGGTGGCTGGGCTTTCGCCCATAGGGCCCAGCCAGGCCCAGCCCGAACCGGATACATGGGCTCATCCAACTGTGGACCCACCACCCACAGGAGGAACATGAAGCCTCCGGTGCAGTGTGGATCGGGTGGCAGACCGAGGCGGGAGCCTTGGTGGTCCGATCCCCCGACAACGAAACTGGTTTTTGGGACATGGAACGTCACCTCGCTGGCGGGGAAGGAGCAGGAGCTTGTGGCAGAGGTTGAGCGTTACCGGCTAGATGTAGTCGGACTCACCTCGACACATAGCATTGGCTCTGGAACCCAAGTCCTTGAGAGGGGGTGGACACTCTCCTTTGTTGGAGTTTCTTCGGGTGAGAGGTGGAAGGCTGGGGTTGGCTTTTTGTTATCTCCAAGACACTCTGCCTTTGTGTTGGGGTTTACCCTGGGGGATGAGAGGGTAGCTTCCCTGCGCCTTCGGGTCAGGGAACGGGTCCTGACTGTTGTTTGTGCTTATGGGCCAAATATCAGTTCAGAGTACCCACCCGTTTTGGAGTCCCTGGGATGAGTGCTAGATAGTGCTCCATCAGGGGACTCCATTGTCCTGCTGGGGGACTTCAATGCTCACGTGGGCAATGACAGCTTGACCTGGAGGGGTGTGATTGGGAGTAATGGCCCGCCTGATCTGAACTCGAGTGGTGTTTTCTTATTGGACTTCTGTGCAAGCTGCAGTTTGGCCATAACGAACACCATGTTCGAACATAAGGATGCCCATTGGGACACTTGGCACCATGGCAGCCTAGGTCGCAGGTCGATTATAGACTTTGTAGTCATATCATCTGACCTGCGGCCTCCTGTTTTGGACACCCGAATAAAGAGAGGAGCGGAGCTGTCAACTGATCACCACCTGGTGGTGAGTTGGAGCAGATGGCAGGGGGAAGATGCCGCATAGACCTGGCAGACCCAAACGCATAGTGAGGGTCTGCTGGGAACGCCTGGCAGAAGAACCTGTCAAGATGGTCTTCGACTCCCACCTCCGGCAGAGCTTTGACTGTGTCCCAAGAGCAGTGGGGGACATTGACTCCGAGTGGGCCTTGTTCCACTCTGTGATTGTTGAGGCGGCTGTCGCTAGTTGTGGTCGCAAGGTGGCCGGTGCCAGTCGTGGTGGCAACCCCCGTATCCGCTGGTGGACACCAGAGGTTCGGGGAGCTGTCAGGCTGAAGAAGGAGGCCTACAGGGCGTGGCTGGTCTGTGGGTCTCCGGAGGCAGCAGACAGGTACCAGATAGCCAAGCGGGATGCAGCAGTCGCAGTTGCCAAGGCAAAATCTTGGGCGTGGGAGGAGTTTGGTGAGGCCATGGAGAAAGACTATCGATCGGCTCCAAAGAGGTTCTGGCAAACTGTCCGGTGCCTCAGGAGAGGAAGGCAGCAACTCGCTCACACTGTTTACAGTGGGGATGGGGAGCTGCTGACGTCAACTGGGACTATAGTTGGACGGTGGAAGGAATACTTTGAGGAGCTCCTCAATCCCACCTACGCACATTCCGAGGAGGAACCAGAGCCGGGAGACCTGGGGATGGACTGTCCAATCTCGGGGGTAGAAGTTGCTGATGTAGTCAAACAACTACACAGCGGCGGAGCCCCGGGGGTGGATGAGATTCGTCCTGGGTATCTCAAGGCTATGGATGTTGTAGGGCTATTGTGGCTGACACGTCTCTGCAACATTAAGTGGTCATCGGGGGCAGTTCCTGTGGAGTGGCAGGCCGGGGTGGTGGTCCCCATCTTTAAGAAGGTTGACCTGAGGGTGTGTTCCAATTATAGAGGGATCACACTCCTCATCCTCCCTGGAAAGGTCTACTCCAAGGTACTGGAGAGGAGGGTCCAATCAATAGTTGAATCTCAGATTGAGGAGGAGCAATGTGGTTTTCGTCCTGGCCGTGGAACTGTGGACCAGCTCTATACCCTTGCAAGGGTGATGGAGAGGGCATGGGAGTTTGCCCAATCAATCCACGTGTGTTTTGTGGATTTAGAGAAGGCTTATGACTGTGTCCCCAGGGGCACCCTGTGGGGGACGCTCCAGGAGTATGGGATGGGTGGCTTTCTGTTAAGGGCCATCCAGTCCCTTTACCAGAGGAGCGTGAATTTGGTCCGCATAGCCGGTAGTAAGTCGGACCTGTTCCCGGTGAGGGTTGGACTCCGCCAGGGGTGCCTTTTGTCACCGGTTCTGTTCATTAGCTTTATGGACATAATTTCTAGGTGCAGCCGTGGTGTGGAGTATGTCGAGTTTGGTGGCAGGAGAATCTCATCTCTGCTTTTTGCGGATGATGTGGTCCTCCTAGCTTCATCCAGCTCTGACCTTCAGCTCTTGCTGGGTAGGTTCGCTGCCGAGTGTGAAGCGGCTGGGATGAGGATCAGCACCTTCAAATCTGAGACCATGGTTCTCGACCGGAAAAGGGTGGCTTGCCACCTCCGATTCGGGGGAGAGGTCCTACCTCAAGTGGAGGAGTTTAAGTATCTCGGGGTCTTTTTCATGAGTGAGGGTAGGAGGGATCAGGAGATCGACAGGCAGATTGGTTCACCGTCTGCAGTGATGCAGATGCTGAGCCGATCTGTCGTGGTGAAGAGGGAGCTGAGCCAGAAAGCCAGGCTCTCGATTTACCGGTCGATCTACGTCCCAATCCTCACCTATGGTCATGAGCTTTGGGTAATGACTGAAAGAACGAGACCACAGATGCAAGCAGCCGAAATGAGTTTCCTCTGTAGGGTTGCCAGGCTCAGCCTTAGAGATAGGGTGAGGAGCTCGGACATTCGGTAGGGACTCGGAGTAGAACCGCTGCTCCTCCGGATCGAAAGGAGTCAGTTGAGGTGGTTTGGGCATCTGGTCAGGATGCCTCCTGGACGCCCCCCTGGGGAGGTGTTTCGGGCATGTCCTGCCAGCAGGAGGCTCCCGGGTCGACCCAGACAGGTTGGAGAGGTTACATCTCCAATCTGGTCCAGGAACGCCTTGGGGTCCTGCCGGAGGAGCTGGTGGAGGTGGCTGGGGAGAGGACGGTCTGGAGCTCCGTACTTGGGATACTGCCCCCACGACCCGGACCTGGATAGGTGGAGGAAGACGACGACGACAACAGCTAAAAATCTTAAAGCCCTCACCCGGGAGCCACGGACACTCAGGCAGACCAAGGGACCACTCTCCACACCAGGTGTGGCAGGGGGAGGCGAAGATGTATAGCATCAAAAGAAGTCCCAGGAGAGGGGGGGAGTCAAAGGCCCCACCTGACATATACAGTCATACACAGACACAGTCACACACTCCTTCCCTCATGCTCACACATACACATACAACCCAAGATTCACAAAAATGCACGCCAGACACCCACTCATACTCCCCATACACACCGTATTCACTCTGGTCCCGGTACTGCTGCACATGGGGTACAACCATCAGAGTTCCCAGAGTTCAACACTTTCTGCTGGGGTGCTGATGAGCAGGCTCCCCTGCCCAACGCTGAGCACAGCAACCCACCACCCCAGACCCCAACCGGACGGCCGGATCTCCCTCCTAGCCTCCAGTCCCAGGAAGCCAAGTGACAACAGAGGTGTGCTAAGACCCCTAGCCTCCCTCCGCCTGCTCCAATATGGTGTTAGTGAGTGTTGATGAGGTGTATTCCATGGCTGTGGTGAGCGGGCAGTGCAGGCATCGTCTGGCCTACGTTAGCTGATGCCACCACACCACCCCACTTGCACCCACAGCCCTCTGTGTCTAAGAGCAGTTTAAAATTGGAAGTGGGCACCAGCACCTGGGATGAGGCAGAAAGATCCCCTTGCCAAATGCCGTTGAATGTACTCACTCCCAAGGCCCTAAGTGTGTGTTTGCGTGGAATGTCGTTGGTGGAGTGCAATCATTATTCTAGACTTAAATTTTCACACTCAAATCAGCTAATGAATCCAGAACACCTGCAAAGGGTTCCTGAGCCTTTAGATGGTCTCTCAGTTTAAGTTGAGTTACTGAAATAAATCAACCTTTGCACCACTTAAATTTTTTTGTTCTACCCATATATCTCTAATTATGTCAAATTTCTAATCATTTGTTGCTCTTCTGGGAGCAGATTTACAGAGACGTTCAACACACAAACCAAAGTTGGTGTAAATAACAGTCTGTTAAAGAAGCATTATGGAAACTGGGACGTATCTGCTCTGCACTCTGTGTGAATGGGTGGTCAAGCTGTGCCACACAGCTGGAAAATTTACAGCTTTATTTCATCAACAGGCAAAAATAAAGTGGTGGCTTATCATTATAGTGTGTGTTCTCACCTTGTCTGTGATAGCTGGACGGATCTGTATGAGGACAAAGCGATAAGCCAACACTGGCAGAGTGCAAAGGAGGGAAGACAAGAAGATGGTCAGCCACACATTTGGCTGATTCAAAGAATTTCTTGCTGCACCTGAAATCAAAGCGTAAAACAAGTGCCAGGTTTATTTTTACATTGTTCTGCAGTAATGCAAACAGAATGCGAATTCTAATTTAATATACAAACACTTAAAAAATATGGAAGATAAAACGTCAACAAAGAAGCCTGTTGGAGAGTATAAATGTTGGTAACAAAAATGTAATGTTTAGTTAGTTCAGACAGTCTGGTATCCCCTTTAAAACAGGAATATCCCTTTATATTTTATATTTCGTCGTCTGATGACGATACCACCATCATCTGGCTCATCTCGGATGGGGATGCGTCTGCCTACAGAATGGAGGTCGAATGGCTTGTGTCCTGGTGCAGCCACAGAAAAGACTGCAGAGGTTGTTGTGGACTTTAGGATGCACACAGCGCCACTGTTCCCCATAACCCTGTCAGACACTCCCATCACGATGGTGGGCTCATGGGGGCGACGGTGGCACAGGAGTTAAGAGCTCGCCGCGTAATCGGAAGGTTGCAGGTTCGAGCCCCGCTCAGTCTGTCGCTGTCGTTGTGTCCTTGGGCAAGAAACTTAACCCACGTTGCCTGCTGGTGGTAGTCAGAGGGACTGGTGGCGCCAGTGCTCGGCAGCCTCACCTCTGTCAGTGCGCCCCAGGGCAGCTGTGGCTACTTTGTGGCTCATACCCACCAGTGTGTGAATGTGTGTGTGAATGAGTGAATGACTGATTGTGTTGTAAAGCGCCTTGAGGGGTTCCATGACTCTAGAAGGCTTTATATCAAATACAGGCCATTTACCATTTACCATTTCATGTCGCTTCCTGGCCGCCACCATCACACAAGACATCAAGTGGGAATTCATCATAAAATGGCCCAGCAGAGGATGTACTTCCTGAGGCAGCTGAAGAAATTCAACCTACCGGCACAGTCGATGAGGCAGTTCTACACCAGAGTATGGAGTCCATCCTCACCTTTTCGATCACCGTGTCGTATGCTGGAGCTACCATCAGGAACAAGAAGAGACTGCTGCATGTTGTGCACTCTAAGAAGGTCATTGGCAGCAAATTCCCCTCCATACAGGACATTGGTCGGATCACAGCTGACCCGTGTCACCCTGGACACAGTCTTTAGGAATCGCTCTCATCTGGCAGGAGACTCATATTCATTCGGACCAGAACCTTTCGCCACAAGAACAGTTTCTTCGCCTCTGCTGTTAGACTCATGAATGACAAGGTCCACTCCAGTCGCTTTCAGTCACATGACCCTGTGTTGTGTTTATACCTGAACTGATCCACTCTGATCAGTACACACTGTCTTGTATACAGTAGTCGTTTCTCTAATTATCGCCACTTCATATTAATTATTTTATCATGATTATGTTCTTATTTCCTATATTAGCTTATCTCTTATTTTTTCTTTCTTTTTGCACCAAGTACCGCAGCAATTTCCTGATATTGTGATTTCTTGCGCAAATTGCAATAAACCCTTCTGATTCTGATTTGCTGTTGATTTTTTCAAATTAAAAATGTGATCTACTCACCAATTAGGGGAAAAATAGAGGTGAAGATGAAAAACATCCCATTGCTGTACATGGTGAATGTCACAGCAAAATATATAGCCAGGCTGCCCCAGACAAAGAGCTGGTTTACTGCTGTCCAGTAATAGGTGTCTAAACATATCTGAAAGAAAGAAATGCATAGGTTTGTTTTTGTCACCCTCTTTTATGATTTTGGCCCGACTCTATATTTTGATACAACGCTGTCAAATGTGTAATTTAATCATTTTATTTAGCCTAAATTCTTAACATTTTCAACATTTTTTGCAGCAAAATCATAAAAATTCAAGTTCACACCTTCAGAGAGGTTTATGTCTGTATGATCGGGTTAGTTACAATGTCAGTTTTTCTGTATAATAATTTCTGTGGTCAGAAGAGCAGTTTTATTGAATTCACCCCCTCACCTGCACGCTCACCACTACAAGCAGACATGTCTGTGCCAGTAAAGCAAAGGACTGATAATCTGCTATGTCTCTGCCGTCATCCCTGACTGTGTCGTGCATGGCAGCCCACGGGATAAAGAAGAGGATTAGGGAGCTGTAACAGCTGTGCATTATACAGCCGACAAAGGCTTTTTTACTGAAATACATGTTCAGCTGGCCGGGAGAGTAGAGCTGAGGGTAGCGGATGCTCCAGCGGTCGTTTACATCCTGTCAATGAAAGCATTAAGGTAATAATTATGGTGGGAAATAGGAATGTAATTTAACACAGAAAACAATTAAAAACAAAAGTGATGATTTCCTGCTGATCCATACCTGGTCAAAGAGGCCCAAGCTGAGAACAGGGGCAGCTGTGTACACCGTGTTATACAAAGTGATGAACCAATCATCAAACACAGTCTATGGAAAGCAACAAGAAAGAACAATTAAACACTCCGTTTGTGATTGTTCATGGTGTAAGATATGTGATGTAGGTTGCCTTTCCTCCTCTATTGGGGGGACCCAGCATATATTAGTATCAGTTCATATCGGTATCAGAAATTAAGAATTAGACTATATCAGTGTATTGAATATTTTTTAAAAGCCAGTACTGAACAAGTGACCCATGTCAGATAACATGTTATTCCATTGTGACATGTGACTTACTTGTGCAGAGAAGCCGCAAAAAAAGGCGTACCAGAAGTGAACAAGGGTGTAGGTGAAGTTTTTGAAGAAAAAGTATTGCAGAAATTTGCACATGCGAAGGTAGGACCAGCGACCGTGCACCAGCAGGAGACGCTGGAGATAACGGAACTGAGCAAAGGAGAAGTCGCTGGAGAGAACCGCCTGCATCCCCTCCTGACCACTGATTCCTACACCAATATGAGCAGCTAAAAGACACAGCATATGCCCTTTAAACTTTACTTTAAAGGATGAACAGAGATGTGTGTTGGTCTCTGATATGAATGATCTCACCCTTAATCATGCTGACATCATTGGCTCCATCTCCAATGGCGAGAGTGACAGCCCGTTTGTATTTTTTGACCAGCTCTACCACCTGGGCCTTCTGCAGAGGGGTGACCCTGCAGCAGATCACAGTTTTACACATACATACTGTCCTCAGCAGCTCCAGCTCCAGGTCCTTCTCCAGGGCAAAGGCCTGGAAGTATGTAAAAGAAAACAAGTTTTAAAAATAAAAAAAAGATCTCATGGAATTAAAGCAGGAGTACATACTTTGAAATTTAACTTTAATACTTAAATTGGAGTATCTCACCCTGTTCAATTAAATAGTTTCAAAATTTATATTTCCTCTAAGTCCTGATCCCCTTGTGTCTATAACAAAATAAATAATTAACGTGAGCCTATAGTGCAATAGATTTGCGAACCCACAAGAGGGAGGAGCTATCATCAACGAGAAGGCGGCCCATTCCCAAGCATGCATTTCACAGTAACGTTGGAAGTTTGCAATGGAGCAACCAAAGTGATTCCCCTATTGTCTTCTACTTTTCAAAGAAAATTTAAACAGTTTAAAAGTCCTTCTGAAACCTCGCTATGAGATGCTTACAATAGAGGAACAGAATGTATATTGAAGAAGCTTTACCATGGAGGGAGCTCTGTTTCGTCATCTATACAAGCTCAAAACTAATGAAGAGTTGGTAAAGTTTCTTTTCGATGGGTTGATACTAACTAATTCATTGTATTTTAGAGAACTGTAACCAAAACTCAATTTAGGCTAAATAAAAGAATTAATAGATAGATGTTGCATGCTGCGTTTACTATAGGCTATTAATTCCTGGGCCTCGAGGGCCGGTATCCAGCTCATTTTGGTTTTAACCAACTGGACTTTTGACTCTACTTTGTCTACACGTGTGCAGTATGAAGCGCAGTTTTCAGCTCCTTTCAGAGGGGGAGGAGGAGCAGCGGCAAGAGCGATCGCTGCTCAAATGTCAAAATCTTCTCTCTCCTTGATGACATCATGAAGTTCTAGGACTTGGTTAAATACAAAACAGCACAAATAATGTATAAAGTAAGAAATAAATTAATGCCTGATAAAATACAGAAACTGTTCACAGAGAGAGAAGGAGGATATAACCTGAGAGGGACACTAAACAAAGATACATAAGTTTAGAACAACATTAAAACAGATGTGTATCACAATAATAGGGGTTAAATTATGGAATAATTTAGAAGAAGAAATCAAAGTAAGTACAAATATAAATGTGTTTAAAATGAATTATAAAAAACATATTCTGAACAAGTATATAGTGGAAAATAGATGATTTATGTGGTTGTCCTTCATTCTAAGGAAAAGTAAATATGAGCATCAATTGTAAAAAGATGTTTTTTTTGTGTTTTTTTTCCAAATGGTTTGGTGGTTTTTTTGGTGACTTGTACCATTTTGTTTGTTTTAATGTAGGTTTTGTGTTACATTTAGTAAACAAGTAAAAATTACTTGTATAAAGGGGTAGGGACATATAAGTTTCAACTTCAGCCTACTTTTCAGACAGAGAAGAAGAAAAAGGGATGACATCACGTTAGGGAGTATACAGGTGCTGGCCAGTAAATTAGAATATCATCAAAAGGTTGAAAATATTTCAGTAATTCCATTCAAAACGTGAAACTTGTACATTATATTCATGCAATGCACACAGACCAATGTATTTCCAATGTTCATTACATTTAAATTTGATATTTATAGGTGACAACCAATGAAAACATCAAATCTGGTATCTCAGAAAATTAGAATATTCTAAAGGCCAATGAAAAAATGTTTGTTTCTCTAATGTTGGCCAACTGAAAAGAATGAACATGAAAAGAATGTGCATGTATAGCACTCAATACTTAGTCGGGGCTCCTTTTGCCTCAATAACTGCAGTAATGCGGCGTGGCATGGACTCGATCAGTCTGTGGCACTGCTCAGGTGTTATGAGAGCCCAGGTTGCTCTGATAGTCATCTTCAGCTCCTCTGCATTGTTGGGTCTAGCGTATTGCATCCTCCGCTTCACAATACCCCATAGATTTTCTATGGGGTTAAGGTCAGGCGAGTTTGCTGGCCAATCAAGGACAGGGATACCATGGTCCTTGAACCAGGTGCTGGTGGTTTTGGCACTGTGTGCAGGTGCCAAGTCCTGTTGAAAGGTGAAGTCTGCATCCCCATAAAGTTGGTCAGCAGCAGGAAGCATGAAGTGCTCTAAAACTTCCTGGTAGACGGCTGCATTGACCCTGGACCTCAGGAAACAGAGTGGGCCAACACCGGCAGATGACATGGCACCCCACACCATCACTGACGGTGGAAACTTTACACTGGACCTCATGCAACGTGGATTCTGTGCTTCTCCGCTCTTCCTCCAGACTCTGGGTCCTTGATTTCCAAAGGAAATGCAGAACTTGCTTTCATCAGAAAACATAACTTTGGACCACTCAGCATCAGTCCAGTCCTTTTTTTCCTTGGCCCAGGCGAGACGCTTCTTGCGCTGTTTCTTGTTCAAGAGTGGCTTGACACACGGAATGCGACACCTGAATCCCATGTCTTTCATGAGTCTCCTCGTGGTGGTTCTTGAAGCGCTGACTCCAGCTGCAGTCCACTCTTTGTGGATCTCCCCCACATTTTTGAATGGGTTTGTCGTCACAATTCTCTGCAGGGTGCGGTTATCCCTAGAGCTTGTACACTTTTTTCTACCACATTTTTTCCGTCCCTTCGCCTGTCTGTTAATGTGCTTGGACACAGAGCTCTGCGAACAGCCAGCTTCTTTAGCAATCACCTTTTGTGTCTTGCCCTCCTTGTGCAAGGTGTCAATGATTGTCTTTTGGACAGCTGTTAAGTCAGAAGTCTTCCCCATGATTGTGGTGCCTTCAAAACAAGACTGAGGGACCTTTTAAAGGCCTTTGCAGGTGTTTTGAGTAAATCAGCTGATTAGAGTGGCAGCAGGTGTCTTCTATATTCAGCCTTTTCAGAATATTCTAATTTTTTGAGATACCAAATTTGGAGTTTTCATTAGTTGTCACTTATGAATATCAAATTTAAATGTAATGAACATTGGAAATACATTGGTCTGTGTGCATTGCATGAATATAATGTACAAGTTTCACGTTTTGAATGGAATTACTGAAATATTTTCAACCTTTTGATGATATTCTAATTTACTGGCCAGCACCTGTAGCTTTACGAGTGCTTTAAGAGAGTTTGTACTGGATGCCACTGGGAATCTACTCAGTACTAAATTGTTGCATGACAACAACTTCAGACTGAACCAGTTTCAGTCCTTTCATGTCATCTTAGAATAATTTGCTGGTTGAGATGCTTAATTTCCTGCAGCTCAAATGATAACATGACTGATTCGCTGACCGTCCACAGTTGTAGATGTGAACAGCAGAAAGTGTCTCTTGACTAAAAAAAACCCACACGAGTCAAAACTGTGTCTTACCAGACTTTGCCCATTTATGACCAGGCCATATTCTTCATCCACCTTCTCATCTTCCACAGTCTCTGTCTTCTTGAGCCAAAACAAACCGCCACGAGCTTTAATCACTAACGCCTTCTCTGCTGCTTCTGGACACATTGTTTTTCTTGCATTCCTCATAAGAAGAATGAAACAATAAAGATTAAAACAATTAAAAAGGCAAATCATCAAGGAATCACAACCACTGACTTACTGCAGCTCCTCTTTGACTCCTTCTGCTGTGTTTGCAGCAACAATAAAAACCTCCTTCATCTCTTCTCTTAACATGTTGCAGGAGTAGCCGATGTTTTCTGCCGTTTCTGTTTCAGAACAAAAACACTTTGGTATCAAAAGTAGGTCGGCTTCATCAAATCTGGCCTTAAAGTCACAAAAGACATCATTCTCTGACCCATTTAAGCCTCATCACCAGAACTTACTGACACATTAACACTATTTAAATCAGAGCATCACTGTTTGATGTTATTGGGACACCAGCCTTGTTTATCTCCAGTCAGGACCCAGATTTTGATGTCGGCTTTAGCCAGTTGCTCGATGGTTTGTGGGACACCGTCTTGCAACTTGTCCTCCACAGCCGTCGCTCCCAGCAGCTGGAAACCAGAGAATTCAGGGGGATTAAAGCGATTAGGCGTTCAGACAGGATTTCTTTATTTTTCTTTAGATGAAACTAGGAAACAAATGTTTTCAGAAGATAAACCAACAATCATGTCTTTCTCGATCTCTTCATAAAGTTCATCCAGTCTCTCCTCTCGTCCCTCCAAAGCCGTGCTGGCCTCATGGTGGCGCTGTCTCCACCCTTCCATGTAGCTCTCCTCCAAGTCCTTGTAGGCCAGAACAAGAGTCCTGAGGCCGTCGCCAGCATACTCCTGTTTGGGTTGGACGATTCAAAGCAGTCACAAACAAAGTCCAGACCAAATTCTCCAGCAATGGTCATAAAAGTCCCAGCTGCATGTCTTACATTCAGGTGTCCAGTGGTGACCTCCATCAGTTTGCTACAGGAGGGGTGTAATCTCTCATAGATGATGGTGTCGGCTCCTTTACAGTACAGGCTCATCTTGCCTTCAGGGCTTCGCACTGGAAATCACAGTTTTTATAGTTTTACCCTGAATCTGGGCGATGTTCTGGCTTCTGTTTCCAGCATTCTACATTGTTGTCTCAAATAAAGATGATAAAAACACAAACATGCATTACAACATGAGTACAAACACCTGAGTGTTTCCTCTCACCTATTACTGACATCCTTTTACGCACATTGTTGAAGTCCAGAACAGCCAGAAGCTCATACGTGACCTTCATGCCCATCTCCATGATGCTGATGCTCTCTGGTGTTCGAGAGCGGAACACAAATCCAAAGTTTCTGGCTGCGGTCACCAGAGCGCCCTCATCAGGTGACTGGGCCTGATAGTTGAGCTCCCCTACCAGGTGGAATCAGGACAACAGGCGGGGTCAGTGAGGGCTTTTACATTTATGAAGCCACAACTGGGCAGAAATCTAAAGCATCACCCTCTTTCTTCTCCTCAGGCATGACGGTGTGACACAGAGCCAGAAGGCGGAAGAAGGCCTGAGCCTCTGGGTTTCCCTCCTTTACCGTTTCAACCAGACTGTAATCATGGAAGACGAACTTTGGATCTGCCAACTGGTTCCAGGAGAAGTCCACTCGCTCGGTTTTCTAATTTAAAAAAATGGTGAGAAAGAGGATTTAGACAAATTAAACAATAAACAGTGATGCTGGTTTTGCATCTCACCTCTGTTATCTCAACTCTTTGTCCAGAAAAGTCAAAGAGCTCACCTAAACAAAAGGAATAACAATTATTGGAGTGTCTAACTATACATTTTTATTATTTAAGTACATATTCCTACCGTAGTTCTTTCCATGAATGGAGCACTTGTTGAAGGTCATGATGTTTTGCGTCAGGGTCCCAGTTTTATCACTGAAGATGTATTTAATCTGACCCAGCTCCTCATTGAGGGTGGTGGTCCTCGCCTGTGCAGGGGTGTCACTCTTTGGGTGATACATCTTCCTGTCCCAGTCTATGTAGAAGCTGTTCCCAAGGCGGATCATCTCCACACTGATTTTTAAGTAAAACAAAATTGTTTTAAAGAAGATCAGATATCCAGGAGCTGCTCCCCAACTTATCTTCTACATTGTACCTGACATAAAGAGAGATGGGCACCACTGTGTTGAGGACAATGATGTATGACCAGAAGGAGAGGAAGGACGACAGAGGAATGTCAACACCTGGTTGACGAGGAAGGAAAACGGAGAAGGCAGAGCCCTCTTTCTCCTCCCAAAGGGCGTGGCCGATGGTCATGATGGAGCAAAGAGTCGCCAGAAAACCAAAGATCTGATTAAAATAGACAATCACATTAAAACTAAAAAGACCTGACAGCACAAGTTGAGGTTACGTGTGAATAAACTCACACACAACACCAGGATGTTCATCAGGTGATCAATGCTGGTCCGTTTGAACGTTGTTCTCCCACTGTTCTGCATCAGCTTGGTGTCGGGACCTGAAAACGTCAACTTCAAGGTTCACACATTTGTGGATAATTTACAAAGAAATAAAATCTTTTATTAAATGAAAGTTTACTGAATAAGTGTACTGTTATGTCATCTATAAATATCTTTGTTTTCACTAACATTCACAAGTAAAATTCTACTGCATCTATAGCTGAGCAAGCAAATGTCAAAATTAGCATTTTATTAATGTACCACTTTACGGACTTCATTACAAATTTGAAATTTCAGGCAAAAAGAAAAAAATAAGATTCAGTTGTGATACTCAAGGAGCTCCTTAGATTGTATTTGTCTGTTTAATAAAATGTGGATTTCATCAAACATATTACTTAGTCAATAATATTTTGGTAACACTTTACAATAAGGGTCCCTTTTTTAACGTTACCGAGTACATTACTAAGCATTAACTGCTTAACCATATCATGTAATCACCTTTGGTATGTTCTTACTGTGTCTAGTTTCTAATTCAATTTTTAGTTCTTTTTTATAACACAGAAAAGGTTTTTTTTTACCTTGCTGACAGTTTCGTTTCCCGACTGCAAAACTTCCTCAGAGACGCTGATGGTGGCGTCACTTCCTACTCCGTTTATCCGCGAGCAGCAGAGGACGTTGTCGCCCTCTGCTGCCCGCTCTCCCCTCTCCGATGATGCGGTCCCATGCATGATCCAATGTGTAAACCCCATTGTCACTGTCCATGGTTCCACATCCACGTCTCCTTATCTCTATGGCTTCCTTTATCCATCTTTTGTATTTCTGTTGTTCAGTGTTTATGATCCTTGTGTTGTATTACACATTGGATCGTGCATGGGACTGCATCATCCGAGAGGGGAGAGCGGGCAGCAGAGGGCGACAATGTCCTCTGCTGCCACGGATAAACGGAGTAGGAAGTGACGCCACCATCAGCGCCAGCTTGGAGGAAGTCTTGCAGTTGGCAAACAAAACTGTCAGCAAGGTAAAAAAAACATTTTCTGAGTTATAAAAAAAAGCATATTTTGTAATGCATTACTAAGCAGACTTCCCTCCTGGCCCTTTGCCCTAACCTTAAGGACACTTAAGAGCTAACAATACCAGTAATGTTAATAAAGGGATTGTTTGATTAGTAATGCTAAATGCACTAAGTAACGTTAATAAAGGGACCTTTATTGTAAAGTGGTGCCAGTATGTTTTTTATTTTAAATATCCATCCATTAATTTTCAACAGCTTATCTGGGGTCAGGTCGCGAGGCAGCAGCCTAAGCTGAGAGGCCCAGACTTCCCTTTCCCCAACCACTTGGGCCAGCTCCTCCGGGGGAATCCTATGGTGTTCCCTGGCCAGCCGTGAGACATAGTCTCTCCAGCGTGCCCTAGGTCTTCCTGTAGGTCAGGGGTGAGGAACCTTGGTCCATCGAGGGCCGCTATCCAGCATATTTTAGTTTCAACCCTGCTTCAATACACCTGATTTTAATCAGCAGGTGATTAACGGGCTTCTGCAGAGCTTGATGAGCTGCTGAACAGGTGAATCAACCACTGAATCTGAAGTGTTGGAGCAAACACATGCAGGATAATGGCCCTCGAGGACCAGGGTTCCCCATGGCTGCTTTAGGTCTTCTACTGGTTGGACAAGCCCAGAAAACCTCACCAGAAAGGCATCCAGGAAGCATCCTAACCAGATGCCACCTCAACTGGTTCCTTTCGATGTGGAGGAGCAGCGGGTCTACTCTGAAACTCTCCCGGACGGCCAAGCTTCTCGCCCTATCTCTAGAGCACAGCCACTCAATGGAGAAAACATATTTGGGCTGCTTGTACACATGATCTCATTCTTTAGGTCATTGCCAAAAGTTCGTGACCATAGGTGAGAGTAGGAACGTAGATCGACGGGTAAATCGAGAGCTTTGCTTTCTGGTTCGGCTCTCTCTTCACCACAACAGATCGGTACATCACTGCAGACGCAGCACCAATCCGTCTATCGATCTCGCGTTCCAGCTTTCCCTCACTCATGAACAAACACCCCCACTTGGGGCAGCACCTTATCCCTGATAGAAGGCATTCTCCCCTTTTCCGGCTCAAGAATATGGTCTTGGATTTAGAGGAGCAGGTTGTCATCCCAGCTGCTTCACACTCAGCCGCAAACTGCTCCAATGAGAGCTGGAGATCATGTTCTGATGAAACCAACAAGACCACATCATCTGCAAAAAGCAGAGACCTGATCCTCAGGCCACCAAAACGGATCCCCTCAACATGGATGAGAGGGGTGGGGGGACTGTGATTGGCTTGGTGTTGTGTGTGCTGCTCGTAGACTAACCCAAGCTGGGCAAGCGGCCCACTTGGTTAAGCGGCCCACCTAGACAGTGCCAGATTGACAGATAGGCCAGTCCACCCCTGGGTATCGCATTGCTTTCTCCCCCCGAGGCACCGGATGGTGGACCAGAATCTCCTTGAAGCCGTGCGGAAGTCTTGCTCTATGGTCTTACATAACTCCTCCCACCTCTGTGACCACCTGGGTTGCATTCCGATTGGCCCATCAGCTGCTGCTGGAGTCCCACAGGCCAAACAGACCCGATAGGACTCTTTCTTCACCTTGACAGCCACCACAACAAACACCGACGACCCTGCGGCCGCAGCTCCGGTCGGCCGCCTCGAGAACAGAAGCACGGATGTTCTGGAACATGGCCCACTCGGACTCGTCCCTAACCTCCCCCGGAACATTTTGTAAGTTCTGTCGGAGGTGGGCATTGAAACTTCTTCTGACTTCTTATTTTAAAAAGAAAAAAACTAAATATTCTTTAAATTATATATATATATATATATATATATATATATATATATATATATATATATATATATATATATATATATATAATGGAGTCATTTAATACATTTTTTGATCATTCAGATTTTTTTTTTTTACAGAATTTTTGTCCATCAAGGATTTCTATCAAATTGGTGGGGAAGGAACCTGAGTTGGTGTGTGAGGTTGAGCGGTTCCGACTAGATATAGTCGGACTCACCTCAACACATGGCTCTGGAACCAGTTTCCTTGAGAGGGGTTGGACTTTCGACCACTCTGGAGTTGCTCCCACTGAAAGGCGCCGAGCAGGGGTAGGCATACTAGTTGCCCCCCATCTTGGTGCCTGTATGTTGGGGTTTACCCCCGTGAATGAGAGGGTAGCCTCTCTCTGCCTACGTGTGGGCGGACAGGTTCTGACTGTGGTCTGTGCTTATGCATCAAACTACAGTTCAGACTACCCACCTTTTTCAGAGACCTTGGAGGTGGTGCTGGAAAGCGCTCCTTCCAGTGACTCCCTCGTACTGCTGGGGGACTTTAATGCTCACGTGGGCAACGACAGTGAGACCTGGAGAGGTGTGGTTGGGAGGAACAGCCCCCTGATCTGAATTTGAGTGGTGTTTTGTTATTGGACTTCTGTGCCAGTCACAGATTGTCCATAATGAACCCCATGCTCAGACATAAAGGTGTCCATATGTGCTCTTGGCACCAGGATACCTTAGGCCGCAGCACGATGATCGGCTTTGTTGTTGTTTCATCTGACCTGTGGCCACATGTCTTGGACACTCGGGTGAAGAGAGGGGCAGAGCTGTCAACTGACCACTACCTGGTGGTGAGTTGGCTCAGATGGTGGGGAGGATGCCGGTCAGAACAGAAAGGCCCAAACGTATCGCGAGGGTCTGCTGGGAACGTCTGGCAGAGTCTCCTGTCAGAAGAAGCTTCAATTCCCACCTCTGACAGAACTTCCAAAATGTTCCGGGGGAGGCGGGGGACATTGAGTCTGAATGGACCCTGTTCCGTGCCTCCATTGTTGAGGCGGCCAACCGGAGCTGTGGTTGTGGTCGTCGGTGCCTGTCGTGGTGGCAACCCCCGAACCCGCTGGTGGACACTGGCAGTTAGAGATGCTGTCAAGCTGAAGAAAGAGTCCTATCAGGTCTTTTTGGCCTGTGGGACTCCAGAGACAGCTGACGGGTACCGGCAGTCCAAACGGAACGTGGCTCGGGTGGTTGCCAAGGCAAAAACCCAGGCATGGGAGGAGTTTGGTGAGACCACGGAGCAAGACTTCTGTACGGCTTCTAGGAGATTCTGGTCCACCATCCGGTGCCTCGGAGGGGGGGGGGGGGGGGGGGAGCAGTGTGCTAACAACACTATCTATAGTGGGGACAGTGTGCTGCTGACCTCTACTTAGGACGTTGTGGCTCGGTGGGCAGAATACTTCGAAGACCTCCTCAATCCCACCGAAACATCTTCCAGGGAGGAAGCAGAGTCTGGTGACTTTGGGTTGGCCTCTCAAATCTCTGGTGCTGAGGTCACTGAGGTGGTTAAAAAGCTCCTCTGTGGCAAGGCTCCAGGGGTGGATGAGATCCGCCCGGAGTTCCTTAAGGCTCTGGATGTTGTGGGGCTGTGTTGGCTGACGCGGCTCTGCAATATCGCGTGGACATCGGGGGCAGTCCCACTGGACTGGCAGACTGGGGTGGTGATCCCCTTATTTAAAAAGGGGGATAGCAGGGTGTTTTCCAACTACAGGGGGATCACACTCCTGAGCCTTCCTGGTAAAGTTTATTCAGGGGTTCTGGAGAGGAGGGTCCATCGGATTGTCGAACCTCAGATTCAGGAGGAGCAATGTGGTTATCGTCCTGGCCGTGGAACACTGGACCAGCTCTATACCCTTATGGGGATCCTGGAGGGTGCGTGGGAATTTGCCCAACCAGTCTACATGTGTTTTGTGGATTTGGAGAAGGTGTTTGACCGCGTCCCTCGGGGGCTCTGTGGGGGGTACTCCAAGAGTATGGGGTACCAGGCCCTATGATATGGGCTGTTAGGTCCCTGTACGACCGTGTCAGAGCTTGGTCCGCATTGCCGGCAGTAAGTTGGGCTCGTTCCCAGTGAGAGTTGGACTCCACCAAGGCTGCCCTTTGTCACTGATTCTGTTCATAACCTTTATGGACAGGATTTCTAGGTGCAGCCAAGGTGTGGAGGGCATCCGTTCTGGTGGCCTGAGGATCAGGTCTCTGCTTTTTGCAGATGATGTGGTCCTGTTGGCTTCATCAGAACGTGATCTTCAGCTTTCGCTGGAGCAGTTCGCAGTCGAGTGTGAAGCAGCTGGGATGAGAATCAGCTCCTCTAAATCTGAGACCATGGTCTTGATTCGGAAAAGGGTAGAATGCCTTCTCCGGGTCAGGAATGAGGTCCTGCCCCAAGTGGAGGAGTTTAAGTATCTCGAGGTCTTGTTCATGAGTGAGGGAAAACTGGAGAGTGAGATCGATAGGCAGATTGGTGCTGCATCTGCAGTGATGCAGGCGTTGTACCGGTCTGTCGTGGTGAAGAGAGAGCTGAGTCAGAAGGCGAAGCTCTCAATTTACTGGTCGATCTACGTTCCTACCCTCACCTATGGTCATGAGCTTTGGGTAGTGACCGAAAGAACGAGATCACGGATACAAGCGGCCAAAATGAGTTTTCTCCGAAGAGTGGCTGGGCTCTCCCTTAGAGATAGGGTGAGAAGCTCTGTCATTCGGGAGGGGCTCGGTGTAGACCCGCTACTCCTCCACATCAAGAGGAGCCAGTTGAGCTGGCTCGGGCATCTGGTCAGGATGCCTCCTGGACGCCTCCCTGGTGAGGTTTTCCGTGCACGTCCAACCGGGAGGAGACCTAAAGGTAGACCCAGGACATGGTGGAGGGACTATGTCTCTCACCTGGCCAGGGAACGCCTTGGGATTCCCCTGGAGGAGCTGGCCCAAGTGGCTGGGGAGAGGGAAGTCTGGGCCTCTCGCCTTAGGCTACTGTCCCCGCGACCTGACTCCGAATAAGCGGATGAAAATGGATGGATGGATGGATGGATATATATATATATATAAATATATATATATATATATATATATATAATTATTTTTTAATGTATATATTTCTGAAGCCTCAGTTAAAACTAATATTCAAAATAGTTTTGTTGGCCTGAAAAATTAAAAGAGATCACCTCCAAAGAGGACCAGGCCGAAGCACCACTCTGTGTTCCTCAGAGTGCACCCTCTGAGCAGCACTTTGTTGTTGTCCAGGCCGTAGTTTTGTCCATTCATAGTCAGGGTTCCTTTGAACTTGTCTAAACGGTTGTTGGGCGGCTCACACCGAACTTCACCTGAGCACAACAGGAAAGAGTCAAAAGTAAGTTAACAGTTAACAGGTTTGGGAGTTAAAAATAGAAAGCTGTAAAGATTATTGAAACGCTAACTATACAGGCTGCTGTTTATTTTTGTACTCTGCTGTAATCTGGATTTGCATGGCCATAACTTAAGTTTATCAAAGAAATCCCAGTTTCCAGGGTTGAACTGAATGATTATCTCACCTCTGAACATGGAAAGTGCTTCCATGTTGTCTCCCATCTCTCCCGTTACAGTCAGGGCCTGCTTCACTTTCAGATTGGTTTCACTGGGACACACCAAGAGACCATAAGAAAGATATAAGTGAAGGGACTCATACAAGGCTCCACACACTCACCCATCTAACTCAGCTGTTTCCATGTAGACCAGATTGAGAGGCTCACTGCTGGACAACAGCAGGAGGTCTGCCTGAGAGAAGCATCCTCTGTTAACAGTTTTAAAGTTAAAAACATTGTTCAACGACCTCAAAAAGCTCTGACTTACTGTGACAAAGTGATTACTCTCTAGTTTCACTATGTCTCCAACCTCAACATTCATCCATTTCTCTTTTTTCAGTCTGTAGTGGAGAAAAAAGGAAAAACTTTGATTATGTTGTCACCTGGTGATCCTCCACTCAACACGTTCAAGACACCATATGGAGTGGTAATTTTTTGATGAAAACATTCATTTTGATTCTTCATTTGAAGAGTTTGACATTAAACAACTCACTCTCCATTGATGAGGACGTCGACTTTGCGGTTATTCACTTGCTTGTCACATTTATGTCTGTTCTACTCCAAAACAAACAAACAATAAAACCTTTAAACACAAGATTGATTTCAGTTACTCTGCTATAAATGTTAATGTTTTAGTGTTTTGCTTAAATCTCACAATGTCATCATTGGCATCTTTGACTGCAGTGATACTCAGCACTGCAACCAATGGCACGGCCGTGGTGAACCAAGGCACCGAGGAGATCTGTGGGATCAGCTGCCAAACACCAATTAAAAAGAAAGTTTTAAGAACAACACTTCTCAGTGAAAATGCTTTACTTAAATGTAAAATCATAGGAAGGAATGTTGAAAACAAGATCCACGTGCTTACCTGAAGAATAAGAAGGAAGAGGAAGTAGGCATTAGCAAGCCTCGTGAACTGCTCAAAGAGGTTAAGAGGCAGGAAGGTGAGAACGTTGTACTTGGACGTCTTGATGGAGTTTTTCTGAGGAAAGATGACAGCTCTGAGGGTGCACTGAGCACTCAGTATGACTAGATGTTAAAGATCTTTCAGTTTTCTTTTTTAAATCATACTCTTCTAGCAAACTGTAAATACCTACAGGTATTTACAGTTTGCTAGAAGTCATTTATATTACACATTTATAAATGTTTCAGAATTATGATTAATGTACTTACAGCATAGTTATAAGACTGGTTGAACGTTCTTTCGTTGGCACGCAAGTGTCTCTCCTCCTCTGCAAAAAATGTTTGAGAGCAACAGTTGGATCTTTTTTGCAGCACCAGGCAATACATGGCCTCTTTCCTTTGGGTTATATTTAATATTATTGGAGCTTTTCTGAAGCTTGCAAGCATATTTTTGTGCAAGGATATGACCTAATAAACAGTTACATCAGAAATCACCTTGTTTCTTCTGCGTCCCACACAAGCTGCTGCAGCACGCCACCACCGACCCCATGTTTAGCTCAGTGTCCTCATTTTAACAGCTGTAACAACAACATATAATTATTATGCTTTTATATTCATGTTATCATAGGAAAATGATATAATCAGCCATAAACGGACTCATGTAGGAAAATATAAATGTAATACTTATCCTATTAGGAAAAGGAAATATAATAAGAAGTTTATACTAATTCAAATAAAAGTAACTAAAAAAGTTTTTCAGAAAATCAGTAAAATTACAGTTATTATATTATATTATATATTTAGGAGTGGGACTCGATTAAAAAATTATATAATTAATTCCAGAAAGTTGAGTTAAACAGGATCTTACAAAAAATACCTCTCCTAATTTTTCATTTAGATCCTCAGAAGATTTTGCTTTGGTGTACTTAAAATGCAGGAAGTGGCCTGTTTGCTGTATTATATATATCAGGAACTTTTCACAAAGTCCTCCTGATGTTATCATTGCTTTAATGCAGTAAAAAACATTTAGCCACTCCCTTTGCACTTGCCACTTATCTCAGCAGATACCTCAGAAATCAGAAAGAACTGATTTGAAGATAGCGATATCTGTTCCTCTCACATCACTAGGCCTATTCAGTTATCAGTATCCAGAACAATCAACAACTAAAACCAATGAACTAGTTCATTTTAACGATAATTCATCAATTCCTTTTGGAGTGAAGAGTATCTATACAAAGTGGGTGTGAATAGTGATAAGTTGGATACAATCCAGAACAGATCATTTCTATGTTGGTCACAAAACAAGAAGAGGAAACACACAAAGTTTGTTGTGTTTCACTTCATTTTTTAAAAGTTCAAACCATAAAATCAGTTTGATGCTGATCTGAAGCGATTTCCGTTGGTACCAAAGTGTTCAAACAAGGACACAAGCCGGGATGTTGCTTCAAATCAAAATATCACACATCAAACTATTATATATATCTATATCAAAAAAGATTAATAAAGGCACTACTGAAAATAAAAGCGTGCTTGTCCTTCAGGTTCTAAACTCATAGGATTAAATAAAGTAGAAAGTACTACAGCTTACCTTTGCTTCCGTCTTAGATAGTGTCTCCCAGCCCTTGTTTACACACTATAAAGATGGGACGTTCACTTCCAGTTGGGGCCTCTGATTGGATGAACGACAATGCAGCTGGTGAAAAATGCTGCAAGGGTCAGAGAATCACCTGTAGACGAGGTCTCACCTTCATCAACAAAGATCTGATCTGAAGATCGGCTCTGGTCGTTATGCTGCTTGAGCAAACGATCTTTGGATCTGAGCTGTGAGCCCGTGCAGGAGTGGGTAGAAAGGTTGTAAAACAACAATAAATGTCTCCAGCCAATCAGATGATATATTACAGTCACTCCTGGGTTGGCCAGGTATGCAACACACCCTGAGATGGGTGGGTGCACATGCTCAAATGGTTAAATTATGCTAGATTAGTTCATTCCTTACACAAATCCACCAAAAGCGATGAACTCACATGGACACGTGGCAGCTTTGTAATGCTGAGATGACTTTTGTTGGAGCTTTAAACAAAAACTGAATTACAGATATGAACACATTACACTGAAAAAGGCTACAAGGAAAAATAACCTATAATGTGCATGAATAAAACATTTATCCCCATATTTATTTAACCCTCTCAGGCTCAAAATAAGTTTTGATAAAAGGATGAACAACTAAGTACTTCAGGGGTACTTTTGAGTTAAATATGTATGTGGAGTAACCAGGTAGGTAGGTTTTAACAATGCAAATCTGCAACGCCTGCCTCCAGAGGGTTAAAAGGTCCCAAAGAGTACTGCCTAAATAAATCTATGTGCTGCCAAAAAGAGTAATGGTGGCAAAAAGTTCAATCTCTTAACTAAGTCAATAATTAAACATAAATTAATACATATCATTGAATCACTTTTCAAGCATTTTCATGGTGAATTTTTAGGATTTATCAGAGCCTTCCATTTGTTAATAATCACACAACAGTCTAAAATGTGTCCTCAAAATAAAGAGAAGACTCTTTCAGGTGCTTAAGGTTTCTTTTTATATAAAACTGGTTACTTGGAATGTTTACATGGTGATGCAGACATTAAAGGTGGTGACATTACAAAGAAAAAAAGCACAAAAATGCATTTACTGTGACAAATATAGTGTACATAAGAACTATTGCAGTGGTTTAGTATTTAACACGATGTGAAAATATGAAATAATAAAAAAACAATAGCAAAACACTTAGGGTGTGTATGTTTAAGTTGGCACAAGGAACAAGTGTGTTACAGTGGTTTTAAACATAGGCTCTCACTAATGCTCACATAGAAATGAAAGGACTTGTGGTTTTCATGCTGAAAATAAAAATGAACATTTATGACTCGTTAGGATAAACACTGAGTACAGGAGGAATACAAACGAATGAATGTTTAAAAAAATCCACCTAAAAACAAAACAACTACAAGAAAAAACATCCCATAATAATCTAGATAATTTAGAGGGGACAAATCGACTACAAAGGGATGTTTAAGTTAAAAACAGCCTACTTCTTTCATCACTGAGAAGTAAAAAGTAGAAAATATTTGGGAAAGTTCCACATAAAAGTCATTAGACATCATTAAGAGCATTAAAGATGCCAACAGGGGTAAAAACACATAAAATACACTTTTCCTAATTCCAGGCCATACTAAGAGTCAAACAGAGAAAGGAGAATGTAAACTGAGGTCACCTCGGTGAAATATCTAGAGGTTTGTGATACCTGAAAGACCCAACCTGGAATAAAAATCTCCATTTATAAATATCTCCACACGCTCCTGTTTGTTGCTTCAATTCAGCGTGCATGTATTTATTCTTGTAACAAAACCTTAGCAGCTCATTCACACTAGTCACTGTGCAAAAATTTACCCAAAAACTCAACAACATACTATCTGATCTTTAAAGAGCACAGAGAAAATGAATATGTATAAAAGTAAATACAATGGCAAAAACCTCCAGGTTACATCAGGCCATGCGGGTTAAAATCTGTTAATAGAGCAGATAAATAAAAATAAAGAAGTGGACAAATAAAAACAACATATTTCGAGTTGCACTACATCTGGTTTTGTCTCATGGCAAGGCACATGATTAATCTGAAAATGAAGAAAACATTTGAAGTTTCATTGAGCTTCTCCTCGTAAACGTTTTGTTTTTAACTAATCAGATAAAACCTAAAAGTATTTTCACATTTCCTCAAAACACGTCACAGTGGAGCCACAAAATAAAATAAAAAATACAGGCACGCTAAAGACAAAATGAGTTCACACATTCACAGTTTCCACAGTGTAAGGCTTGAGACACTTGGTCACGAGTGGGAGCAGGGGGGGGCATTTATTTCACAAGAACACTTGAGAGGTGCGGTTAGTTATTGGGCGTCTGGTCTGGTGCCCTTGAGGCGGATGCTTTAACCCTCACGCAGACAAAGAGAGGACTTAAAGATAAAATGGCAGTGGCCTGGGCCTGAGTGTGTGTTTATCTGCTGTGCAGTAGCTTCAGTTTTAGGAATGTGTTGGTTCTATGAAGTTGCCAACGAGAAGTCCCGGCCCATTTAAATGTCCTCAGCTGCCCTCCTCTGCTGACCGGGTCTCTGACTTCAGTCGGACGAACTCCTTGGCCACATCGTCGTTGGAGCGCTGAGAGAGGATTCTCATGGCGGTGAGGCCCGTGTCGTCCATGTAAATGCGTTGTCCCAGCGGACACCAGCAGGCACAGTTGCCTCTCTCCATGATGTCTCTCAACTGCACCACAGCCAAACCCACCACTCGATCAGCACGGCCGAAACAGTAGTCTTTGACGCAGGCTTGCACCTCGTAGCACTCAAAGCCATCCTGGTTACCCAGAACGCTGTCGAGAGGGAAATCATTTTTTATTATCCTTTCATTTGTGAAACATACCAGACTTTGAATGACCTTTGACCAAAACCATATGAGGTCTAGATTTGTCTAGATGCTTTCCTGGTTTGTTTTGTTCTTGAATTTCTTCTAAACGAGGCATGATGTGTTGCTTTTTCCAATCTTTTAGCCCACATCAGTGATTTTATAAGTCTTCAGGTCTGGCAGTAATCAATTTGATGGCTTTTTTCCTCAGACCTTTTTGACTGACACTATTTAGTCAGAAGTCTGATGGGTTTTTGAATTAAACCTGAGGCTTTTTTCCCCTCTATGGTCTGATGTCTAACATCTGGGACCTGAGGATGTCCTAAAATGTACACCATATTATGGAGCTGTTAGCATGAAAATAAAAATGAAAAGCCTCAGTTAGAAATGTAATCATAAAATTAAAATCTTACAAATGGAAGGTTTCGTTGAACTTGGGAGACCAGCTGTTGTTCTTGGATTTGGTCTGGAATTTGCGTTTCTTGTCGCTGAGGCGAGGTCCGATCATGGTGATCTCCACAAAGGGTCTGAACATCCCAGATGTCTGCCATTTTAAATCACTGGCTCCTATAACTGTCATATGACAACCCAAAAAACAATGTTTCACAAGGCAATTTAAACTTTTATATATCATTTTATAAAACCTCCTAACTGACCTTTCACTGTTACCTTCCTCTCTCCACTCTTTGGATGAGTGTACAACTCAATCTGAAGAGACACCTCACCAATGGGCTTGTCCACACCAGAACCTGGTTTAACACACACTCATTAACAACCAGGGAAAATGAATTTGGTTTCAAATAGAAAGAAAAACTAAGTCAGGCTCATGATGGGATAAAAGGTGGAAAGATGGGATCAAGACAGTTAAATCTACAAATGAACAAATGTAGAGGAACAGGAGGAGCTGGAGGGTGATGTTTAGGAGACCTACCCCTGCTGGGTTGCGTTTTTTCATTGAGAGTTAACCTAATACCCTTTCCATTGTGCACTGGCACAGAGGCAGCACAGGAGATAAAAAAGACAGCATGAATGCATCTCAGAAGTGATCACAAAGCTTCATCTCCTGGTTTACTTTGTGGAAGTCTTCCACATTTGTAGTTCTCCTGAGTGAAGCAGAGTTTAAAGTACCTTGCGTGTGCTGTGTGGTCACAAACGTCTGGATGAGTGTGTCTGTAGTCTGAGTGTAAAGGGAGAGGGCATGGCGAAGAGAGGAAAGCTCAGGACTCTTTTCCAGGAATGCCTTTTTCAACCCGTTGCCTCCTGCATGGAAGTATTGCTGCAAAGAAAATCCGATTTATATGTTTAGAGACACTAATAGAGGGTTTGTGACCGTATCATCCAAAGCCAGTGTCTGGGGACTTAATGTGAGTGACGCTTGTACGGGACTTTTTCAAATGTTTCATAATGTTTAGAAGGTTCTTATTTACCTCACAGGGCTGCAGTCGCGTGCTGTTAGAATTTGAACAAGTCTGTCTAAGCACAAGTCTAAGTACCTTAGGCATATCAATAAATTGCAGTTATTTGGGGGGGTGGGGGGGGGGGTGCTATTTATTTAGCTTATGAACATGCAAAAGTGTCAACAGTATGAATTCTGTGTGATTCTAGTCAAAAACTTGCATTTATTTTTTCACAATTTTGTGAAGCTAACATTTGCAGCCCAGTGAGATAAGGTTTCAGAAGAATAACCTTGGCATCAACATGGAGGATTTTCAGCCTGGATCCTTTTATTTCACACTTTTCTTTCAGATTTCCATTTACAGTTTACAATTATTTTTAAAGCATTATTCTGAAACAGTAAAATATGTTTTTGAACTTCTTGCATTAGTCACTTTTTTTGGAAATGAAAGAAAAGGAAATATGTCTTTAATTTTTCTTCTAGAAAATAAAATTTGGTTTTACTTAGATATTATTCCATTAATACCAATAATACTAGTTAAACTAAATTATTTACCTTCCTTTTGTTGCCCCTTTCAACACATTAGCTAATAAATTAAATACCCAAAGCCATTTACTATTTAATACATGTTCAACCACTATTTTCACCATCTATGTAAAAGTAATTCATAAGTAAGTTAGTTGAGTAGTTACTTTAGCCTATTTACGTACTTAATCTGCATTCTAATGAAATAAGAACGTACAGAATTAACTCACCTTGGTGGTATCCAACGCCACATCCATGACAGCACACTGCCTGGGAGTCAGGCTTTTAGCTTCCCCCACCATGTGATCCTGAACAATCATAGGAAAGATTGTGTTTAGAGACTAAAATTTGTTTGGTTTGTCAAAAACTAAATGTAATACATTTTATTTCATACAATACAACATAAAGAAATAATAATACCTTGAGTTTGGTGAGATGTCCGAGCTCTTTGGCAGCCGACAGAATTTGAGCTCCCTGAAATAAAAACAGAGCGTCTTGGTTGTAACTCTCCTGGGGCCTCATTTATAAAACTTTGAGTAGGATTAAGTTTACTCAAAAAACATTGAAGGAATGAGAATGTCACGTGATCAAATACATTTAATGAAATATGAAGCGGTTAAGAAAGAAAACAGGTGGGAACATTTTATTCTTGGTATTGAACACAAAAATGAGCCCCTCATTGAAGCAAAAATAAGATAAAGAAATATCAGCGTTAACATTTAGTTCAATGTAAGGAAACTCAAGTGAAGCCTCCAGAGTGCGTTAATAAGCGGCCCGCGGCACAACTGGTCCTTACCAACATTTCAGCTCTCACCCAACTAACGGTTCTGAGTTCATGAATGTTGTAATGAGTGTGAGATTCTGGTTGCGCGTCAGAGTTATGTTAAACAAAGACAACATTTTTTTGTAATATTTAGAGAGTGGGGGCCAAGGTTTGCTCATATGTGTTGGTTAAGGGGAGTTTACAGTTAACTGAGTATGAACGGTTAAGGCTAAAGCAGGGGTCGGCAACCTTTTCCCATCAAAGAGCCAGCAGTAAAGAAAACACTGGGAGCCACAGCAGCAGAGAGCTGCTTTAACCAATCACAGGTGACAGCAGCCAATACCGGTCGCTCGTGTATGTCAAAGTTCTCTTTCAACAGAAGACAATCAATTAAACAATTTGTATAAAATGGATCCAGAAATTGTAGCCCGTCTCTGCCTACTATATGTTGATTTTTTCACCATGTGAGTGGTTTTACTACATGAGCAGGTACCAAATTTGACAAACGTTGATTTTTAAAGCATGTTTAAACTGTTCAGAATACAAATCCAGGCTCTGTCACGCTTGAATGTTGTAATTAAACTTTGCAGGTGGGGAAGGTTAGAAAAGGATCAGATCAATTTGTTTTTCCCTCGTTAACAGTGACGGAGACAACGGTGTAGTGTGCCTGGCTCTGGTGTTAATCAAGTTTAATTTGATCTGTTTGCAACAATTTTCAAAAGAAAGCAAAACAGTTAAATGGCAGGGTTCGTATAGACCATTTTGTTCCCGTATTTGACCCGTTTATTTTGATTGAGAAAGAATAGAAATTACCCAGACGCATGCAGACGAACTAACATTTGATTTGTTACGCACATCGCAGATGTAGCTAAATCACTCAAGAAAAGAATCCCATCAGAACATCTGAGCTGGACACTGCTCAGCACAGCTCGCTGTCAGTGTGCACGTAAGGTGGACAGCGAGTTGAAGATGTGGAGAGGGGCTTGGAGTGCGTCGCAGAACCAGGGCACATACGGGAAGATTCCTTCCACTGAAGAAAGTGTTTTCCAAACCCTGTCTCTCAGAGAGACTAGTCACTTAGAAAATGTTCCCTGATGAGGACACTTTGGCTGAATAGCGCTTGTTCCTGTCTCCAATGTGGCGACGCATCCGTGAGCCTGTTTGAGGCAAATTCCAGCATCTCATATCCTCTTCAGCTCAGAAAGCCTCAGTGTTGGGAACGTTACTTAAAAAAGTTATTAGTTATAGTTACTGATTACTTTGTCAAAAAAGTAACTCAGTTACTAACTGAGTTACAAGATTATAAAAGTAACTAATTACCAAGAAAAATAACTACGTAGTTACTTTTTTCATTAAAGCATGCAAGAATGACTACAATAGTGAAATATAAATGAATAATGACTGGAACATAATAAAATGTATGTCCAAATGTTTTTTATAAACCTGAATAATTTAAATAAATAAGCACTTATCAGGTGGAACTACTAACAGGAACATTACATTTATCTAGACTATTAAAAGGTCACTGTGTTATATTTAACAAGACCCCAATCAGCTATAATTTAAAATTGCAAATAGAAACACCTGTAAAGGTTCCCGAGCCTTTAAATGGTCTCTCAGTCTAGTTAAATTACAGAAATGAATGTAAGTTTGCACAGCAATTAAATTTTTCCAGCTTCACATAATTGTGTGTTTTAGTAGCATTTCTGTAGCTGGCAATCTACTAATGGTTAAATAAATAAATAAAATCCTTTAAAATGACACTAGAAGAGGCACAAGCCTGATGGAGGACTTACATTTACTAACATGGGTCAGACCCAACCACAGAAGAGCTGATGCTGGGTGGTAAACACACACAGGTAGTTCTAATAACACCTGAGCTCCATGACGTCTGAGACAGATGCATCAGTGTTACAGCGGGACTAAAGACGATCAGAAACTGGTTACAGCTGGATGATCTAGGAAGGTAGAAGATCAGGATGTCTGAGCGGTGAACAGGTGAGCGGACCTTCGGGACGTCCTGCTGTCACGCCAAGAAGGGCACGGCTGCAGACCAGCAGATTCTTCATGTCTTCCTCGTTCTTCACGGGCCGTGATGCGCTTGGATGAAAACATCTACCTCTTTAGCTCCTGATCAGCTGATGACAGCTTCAACACACCGCGCTGCTTAACGCACACATTTCCTTACCAGTAACAGAAACAATCGTTTTGTTAACAGAAGACGGTAATTAATTAGTTTGCTCGTTACAGAAATATTTTTTTTTTTATTAACGTGGTTATTTTAAACGGCGTTATTCCCATCACTGCTCTGTTGGGTCTACAGCAGGCAGCGACTGAGACAGTGAGAACACTGAGGGTCTCCGCCCACCCGGCCAATCATCATTGTGTTTGTAAGTGCGTTACCGACACCTCTCTCTCCCTGGCTGCAGCTGAAGTGTGGCGGTCAGAAAGCCTCACACTGTTGCTCAACGTTCGACAAGCACATAGTAACGCACAACCTTCCGTCCCTAGTAACGGTAACGGCGTTGCAACTGTGGGAAAAGTAATTAATTAGATTATTCAGTTACCTAAAAAAGAACACCGTTATATTTAAACTGCGTTACTCCCAACACTGGAAAGCGTCTATAGAGACATTTGATTACACACAAGCAGGTGACCTGTCAACCGTTGGACCTGTTCAGGTTTACGCAAACCGTCATTACATTTAGAATTGGCATACAGATATAAAATTAATGCAGTAAAATATAATGCATTTTATTTAAATATCCATTCATTATTTTACAAGCACAGAGAGCCGCATCAGATGGATGGAAGAGCCGCAGGTTGTCGACCCCTGGGTTAAGGGCTTCAATAACCGGTAACACATTTTGGAAAACATGGACCTCTACAGGATTTGGAGAATTACTCTGTATTATTTCCTGATATTTGGACTTCTCACCTCTGATTGGTTAACAGCAAAGCGCTTCTTCTGCTGACTCTGTTTGCTCTGCAACATTGATGTTTAATGTCCACAAATACCACAATCCTAAAAGGGTACTGCCATGCTGTGGAGTTGCTAATGCTAAAGCTTAGCTTCTACTAGTCGAGACGTTCTTTGCTGTTTCCTGGACGTTAAATCACAACAGCCTTCTCTGTCGCGAGCCAAGATGGGCGAGTCCGTGAGTTTCAGTGTGATGTAGATCTGATCGGCTTTTCTAATCCAAGTGTTTCCCCGTATATTTTATATTGGTGGCTAACACAGGAAATAGGAGTAGAAGATTATTTCCATGTTCAGTCTGAATGGTAAACTCAGAGTGACCGATCATAAAAAAAAAAAACAAGTTAAAATCAAAGCAGCAGGAGACAGGAGGACCCCCACCCCCCCGCCCCTCCAACCCCTAAATTACACTCTGAAATTTTACCGTTAATGCCCCCCCTCAGGTTCAGCACCTGTTGTGTGCACAAGCAAGCTTTATAAATGAAGCACTTGGTCTTTTATTCATGTATTGAAAAAGTCAAATCTGCAAACTGAGGACTTACAAAGGTGTCGTGTCCTTGTGGCAGAACAATCGTTTTCTCCAGGCTGCTCATGACGATCCTCCACAACTCTTTGAGGACACGTTTTAACACGGTTTTCTCACACACAGTGGCAAACAGCGTAAGTCTGCAAATTACAACACGGTTACTGAAAAGCACTGACAAAAGAAATACGGTGGAATAAAACCACTCACTTTCCATCCAAGAAGTCCATGAGAGGCCGCAGCATGTTGTCAGAGTCAGCCTCCACCTGGTTTTTGGTGTTCTCGTTGAGTGGCCCTTTGATCTGATACAACAAGGACGCCATCTGTCGCATGCAGTCATTGATGTGGCTCTGGAAGCTGGAATCAAAGATCAGCCAGCTCAAACAGAAATGCAGTTACAGATGCGTCTGGATGTGGAAGGGTAAAGATATCGTACCTGTTTCCAAATGTGCTGCTGAGATCATCCAGCACATTGTTCAGCCTCACCTGCAGATCATTCAGCAAGTCACTGGCTTCTGTGTCCATCTGTCCCAAAAAATATTAAAACATAAATATAGAAACATACAGGTTATGGTACAATGGCTGCAACCCGAGAAAAAGGACATTGGAAAACCGTTGAAGCTACAAAGATTATACGATTGGTTTTGAATGGGATCCTAAAACATATTTGAAGATTTGGGCAAAAATAACCTCATGAAAACCACCATCTACAGCAAAAAGTGAAGGATATCAAAGATAAACAAGATTTCCCAAGTCACATTGGGTTCTCATGAACTACAACGACACCTAAAAGAAAGGAATGCTGTAGGAGCACAAGGTGAGCAGGAATAATTCACGATATATCTCCACAAACTAAATCATCAAACAATCACAGCCTGGAGGGGGACAATTAAGACATATGGGTGAAGTCTGGGTGAGACTCATTAAGTCAATGATCCAATGAGCTTCTGATTCATGTTCTGTCAGAACAACAGAGCATCACTATTGGGCTGGGGGTGAGGAAGGGACACATTTCTGCTCCATAGCACAAAGGGAAGGGCTTCAGGGGAGAAAAGTAACAGATGCGGCCATCAGGTAAGGAGTGTGCTTTGCATGTTCTTGTCCTAATCCGTGTGCATTGACATCAGTGCACCTACACTCACCTTTTGATCTTCAAATGCATTTTCTCTCTACGGCAGCACAGAAGAGTAGAAGGTGACACAGGAAAACCTTCATTAACTCCTCAATAAGACTTAAAATGTGTGTACATTAATCAGGAAATAGTCTATTTAGGAAGTGATGTGCCTTTTACACACAGTAGTATTTGTGTAATGAAAATTTATTTATTTAACAATATAAATATGTTTGTAAAAATAGTAACGCCCATACTGTTGCTAAAAGATTGGGAAAAATTAATCATTGAATAAATACATCCTAGAAAATTCCTTCTAAATTCTTAAAATGAGAACATTCCATTTTCTAAAATTAGGAAAAGTTAAACCTACCTTTAGTTTTTTTCAAACAAATATTTACAAAGAAAATAGACAATATAGAAGAGACAAAAGTGCAAGTTTGGGGATGGCTGTTAAGGGGGAGCCCTTTTGAGAAAGGAGTGTTAAGCCGGGCGTAAACTGTGCAACCTTTTCACTTTTTTGAGTCAATTTTCCCCTGGTACGAGAATCTACTGAGCATCGTGTACTATACAGGGGGTTACGAGAGGCTATTAACACCAAGTGACCAGCTACCAATCAGCAGTCAGAAGCTCAAACTCACTAATTTATGGCGTGTTTGATAATTTTCTCGTCCCTCGTCGTGAGGTCGCACTGTTGAAGCGGTGCTGTGAGTGGCTGTGACCCAAAAAGTACCAGAACCGCTAATGGCACATGCACAAACATGCCTCTACAGGGCTTGTCAGCCATTTCCCTTTTAACACATATTGTTCAGTTTTATTTATACACCTTTTTTTTGCACACATTGACAAGGATGGTCAATAAAGTGCATTTGCCATGTTTATGTCAAATTAAAGTAGCTTTCCGAAGTTTTCTACTTTCAAAAATTATGTATATTTTTTCAGAAATCCATAAAAGTGATTATCTTATCACGTACTGTGATATAATCTAAGCATTACGTCTTTTTTAACTTTTTGCTAAGCACGCCCCCTGTCCCGCAGTGCTGTGTGCAATAGGAAACTGAGCGCCGACCAGAACCAACCAATAGCATTACACTACCGCTTAGATCAGACCTGGGCATTTTACGGTCCGCGGGCCACATGAGGCCCTTTGGTTGACTTTGACCGGCCCGCATAAGGTTAATTGGAAATTACAAAATAAATGTATTTTCTCATTTTACCTCATGCATGGGCTAAGGCTGCATTGCTTTTATTTTGAAGTTGTTTTTTACGTGCACAATGACGCAATACGTATAGCAACAAGTGCCCGCGGTTGACATGGTGATTGTAGCCCGAGAAATGTCCGCTCATGCAAAAAAAAAAAAAAAGATGCCAAATGCAGGATTTTCAACAAAAATTGGACTGCTAAGTATTTTTTTTACTGAAGTCGGAGGTAAAGCCGTGTGTTTGGTTTGCGGGGAGGAGCTTGCCGTGTTTAAGGACTACAATTTGAGTCGGCATTACGACAAGAAACACTCGGAAAAATATAAGAACTTGTCTGATGCTGAGAGGGCACGGACATCCGAAGCTTTGCTAGCAAAGTTGCAAAAGCAGCAAGGCTGTTTTACTAAGCTTCACACATCCAGGGATGCAGCAACCAGGACCAGCTTTGTGATATCCCACAAAATAGCTAAAAACAGCAAGCCGTTTTCGGAGGGAGAGTTTGTCAAAGAGTGCATGGTGGACTCTGCCGCACTAATATGCCCTGAAAAAAAGGCGCATTTGAGCAAATCCCGCTGTCCAGGCGAACCGTGACCAGGAGGATCGAGGACATTGCGGGGAACCTAGAGCTTCAGCTGCAACGTGAAGTGGCAAGTTTTGACTTTTTCTCATTAGACGAGAGCTGTGATGTCCGGGACACAGCCCAGCTGCTCGTATTTGTCCGGGGGATAACGGAGCTCACAGAGGAGCGGGCAGCAATGCGGTCGATGAAAGGGACAACGACAGGGAGTGATCTTTTTACAGAGGTAAATGCGTGCATGAACACTCTGGATTGAAAGGGGAGAGACTGTCAGGTGTCACAACAGACGGTTGTCCAAATCTTACGGGGAAAAATGTCAGACTTTAGAAACGCATGCAAGATAAAGTGACAGAAATCGATGCAGATCAAAAATTGGTGTTTTTGCATTGAATTATACACCAACATGTGTTGTGCAAGTCAGTGCTAAAAATCATCCATGTTACTGATGTTGTTACTAAAATAATAAACTTCATCAGGGCACGGGCCATGAATCACAGACAGTTTGTGGCTCTTTTGGAGGACTCCACACAGCTGTCAGCTGGCTCAGCCCGGGGAAAGTGCTGAAGAGGGTTTGGGACTTGAAAGCAGAGATTCAGGATCTCTGCTGGATTTCTACTCTTCTCTTAGGGAGGAGAGCTTCCCAAACCTGAGGAGACATGCTCAGAAGATGTTGGGTTCTCTTCAGCTCTACCTACATTTGTGAACAAACATTTTCAATGATGAAGTTTGCAAAATCCAGGTAAAGATCCTCTCTCACTGATGATCATTTGTAAGCTGTGCTTCGCATCTCCACCTCAGACATTCAACCTGACTTTGATTCACTCGTTAAAGCCCAGCAGAGACTAGATTTCTCTCACTGAATAAGAAAAAAATCACTTAAAAACACAAAATAAGGTGTTTGGACCACAAATGTAGGCAACTAGCAGTGAACTGGGACACTTTGTTTGAAACCTCTTTCTCAAGATCACAGTTCAGTGATTTTATTTTACAGACGATACTGTGTGTCTGTAGAATGCTAAGAACCTCTTTCCAACAATATTTGAAACTCAAAATGTGTTTTGGAGTGAATGTGACTGAAACTGTTAACTAATATAAGTTACAAATGTTTAACAAAAACCAAATGCGCACTTTGTTTACCATTGCCTTGGGAAATTTGAATAAATCACATTTTTGTAAGCCAACCTCGCTTTTTCCTTTTTGCTCATTTATAACATTTAGTCTACTCTTACCAGCTTGAAAAAACAATGGTATTTACTGCTTTTTATAAAGAAATACCATTAATATTATGCATAATTGACTTCAGCCTTTTGGCCTGGCCCTCCACTATATTTTCTATTTCTCATGTGGCCCCAAGGAAAAAATAATTGCCCACCCCTGGCTTAGATGCTTCAAATTTAAGGAATACCTCAGTTGATGCAGAGTTGATGAACTTTTCACGGACAAGTAAGCCTCTAAAATATAAATATATGACAACACAGCATAACATGAGAATGATACTCGTAAAACAACGTGTTTTAGCTCTGTTTGTCAGCTACAGAAGCACATTTATAAATAAGAAACGTGAAGTCGCCATCTTAAAATAACAGAGCGACAGACTTTTGGTGTGATGTGCTTGACAGCCACTAGATGGTGCCATCGGATAAGAGAAATACTCCGGAAAGAGACTTTAAACTGACAAAACATTGATTCACTTTCTTTCTTTCATCTTCCAACCCCCCAAAATCCCTGTGTCCTCTTACAGCACTCCCGAAGGACAACAGACATCAATAACAACACAATAAGAAGTCTGACGTGTTGTGTTAAAACTGCTATTTTGAAGCATACTTTTAGGTCCGGTGTGTTGCTACCAGATGCACAGTATGAGCAGTCAAGTCACATTCGAGAACAGCGTAGTACAGTATGAGAAATTGACTTGTGAGGTTTGCTCTACAAGGAAGTCATACAATTTAACATCGAACTGAATGCTACGAGTAAAAATGATAAACGACAAATGACCCGCACTTGTATAGCGCCTCTCAGAGTAAGGACTCCAAAGCGCCTTACACTACAGGGTATAAAATGTTGCACAGTGTCTGCCCAGCTTAACGGGAAAAGCTGGAAAAATCCATTAAATAGTAAACAACACACTCCATCGGGTAGAGAATGCTTCACATGAAAACAAAATAGTAGAATGTGCTGTTTTAGGTATGATGATGCTGGTGGGAGCAGGTTGAATAAGGAAAATGTTGTACAGGAATGACTCTGAAGTGAGTGAAGATCAAATCCTCTTCAAATTTCAACAAACCTCAGCCTCTATTTCCTCTCCTCCCACATCTACTTCCTCTTCATCCTCACTTTCATCAAACTAGGAGTTACAGTGAAGAGATAACAGAGTCTTATTGCTGCCATTTGGTGTGTTTTAGTGCGAAGAGCATTAGAGCATATGCAGTCATGTTATATAAAAACATGTTTGCATATACGGAGAACTTGCCTGCCATGCTAGTCTACTGTTGTTGAGCTAGAAAGGAGAAAAGAAAATAGCTCTTTATTCTGCGCAAAGTTATGCTTGTTGATGGTTACCACAACAGGGAAAATGTGGTTACTACATAATTGTTCAGAGCTTTGCAACAACCTGAGCACCTCTAGCCTCTCCTAAAATGAGCTAATAAAAATGGTATTCGGTTTTAAGCGATAAACATCCTTTGCAGAACAAATGGCCTTCTAGAGTCCTAGAAGCCCCCAAGACACAATTGGTCATTCACCCATGCACACACCAACATATTCTCACAGTGAAGCATCGAAAAATGACGCTAGGTGGCCAAGTCTTTCTTTCCTACTCGTTGGGAGTCCCAACGCATCGGGAGGCGACGCACTGTGCCAGAGTGTCGTTTTCCGACTGACGCGGTAAAATGGACAATTCACCAAATTCTGACCTCTTGCTATTTAACCTTCCCTTCACCCCCATCCAACCATAACCCTCTTGCGCATGCAAAACTTTGTTTAGTTGTACCGTTGCTCTCCAACATGATTAACAGGAACTTTAGAATGAGCAACAGGGTTAAGGTTAGGATGGGGTGAGGGAAAGGTTAAATAACAGTCAGTGAAATGTGTGTTTTACTGCAGGCATCGGAAACCGATGCTCTGGCACAGCGTGTCGATTCCCAACATGTCGGAAACAAATGCTTGGTCACCCAGCGTCATTTTTTGATGCTTGGGTGTGAGAATGTGTTGCACACACATTCACACCCTGGTGATGATGAGATACAATGTAGCCACAGCTACCCTGGGGCGCACTGACAGAGGTGAGGCTGCCAAGCCTGGTGCCACTGATCCCCACCACCAGCAGGCAAGGAGGGTTAAGTCTACCTTCAATTACCGGACAACCCATTCTACCCCCCTGAGCTACTGCTGTCAGGCTCAGCCTTAGAGACGGGGCTCAGACATCTATTATGGACTCAGAGTAGAGTGGCTTCTCCTCCATGTTAGGAGGAGTCCTCTGACTACCACCAATAGTTAAGGCCAGTGAAGTGTTTTGCCATAGGACACAATGACAAAGCTGGGGTTTGAACTGACATTCCATCAATTACAAGCCAAACCTCAGACCCCTGAACCAATAGTCTGATGTCCACACAAGCTTGCATTTAGCCACAAACACCTAAGTACTTAATCCATTCACTGCCAATAATGACTAACGTCGTCATTTGCATTTTTTTACTGTGTGGGCGTTGGAACGAGCTCCGCACCATGAGAACAAACATCCCAGCTCTAAAGCCGATCTTCATCCACGTACATCACACGTTACGTGATCAGGAAGCAGAAAATCCGTGTGTTAGGAGATTGAGAAAGTGAGGCGCGAACCAGAAAAGCTTCTGCCGATCACAATTCTACAACAGATTATGAAAGAAGGGATAACGCTCAAAACACACGGATTCTTCCTGATGTAAGAGGTGAGTCTACTCTTTGTTTTGGTAGTTTTGGCGCTGACATCATCATAGAGCGTAATGTTCTTTGACTCTTAAAAAAACTGTAAAGATGAGGAAAAACACTGGCAGCAAAGGGCTTTTCTTATCAGGAAACGTCCAGCAGTGAATGAGTTAAGAAAAGCATAAAAGTACTTAAGACCATCATTTTTCCCCATATAACACTATTATCTCCCAAAAAATGGTACACAAACCAAATAATCTGGGCATAGGCAGGTCATTATGCTTCATGCTACTCGCTAAGCAACAGGCCACGCATAATTATTATTGTTGTGTTAATATTCTATTCTATTAATAAGTGAAATACTGAGCTTTTTCTCTACCATTCAAGCTAAATGTTTTAAGGATCTGTGTGCACACCAAAAATACCACAGCGCCTTTTGGTACTAGTTACCTAGACCAGGAGTAGGCATCCCTGGTCCTAGAGAGCCACTATCCAGCATGTTTTAATCGTTTCCCGGCTTCAACACAGTTGATTCACAAGTTCAGTGGCAGATCAAGCTCTGCAGAAGCTGTTAATCACCTGCTGGATAAAATCGGATGTGATGAAGCTGAGAAAGCTGTAAAACATGGTGAACAGCAGCTTTCCAAGAACAGTTATCTTCCCCTGACCTAGACTAATTCTAATAACTACCACTACCACTGACAGCACCCACCGCAGCTTTGGGTTTCTCATCCTCCTTTATAACCTGCTGTTCATGTGAGGCCTGGAATAAATCATCTTCCTCCTCCTCCTCCTCTATGATTTCATTTAGCTTTAAATGTAAAATGAAAACACTAGTTACAGCACAAGATATATTCCAGTCATCAAACATGTCAAAACCAACATACATACATAACATAGTAGCAGACTCACCCTAACCCTATGGTCATAGATTGTGTCATATGCATCAGTATTCCCTACTTTCACACAGAAGCTGCATCTATATTTACATCACTGAAGAAATCTATTGTAGCCTTCAGAGCAAAAACCAGCCTACTTCAAATCAACTAAAGCAGCACTACGATACATACCTGTTCTTCTTCTGTTGCAATCTAATTCAAAGAAACTTTACGATTTAAAAAGTACAATTCACTCAAACCTTCTCACATGCACACCCCATTTTCTTTCTGCACTCACCTGTTTGGCACCCATCGACTCAAACATTTTCTCCAACTGGATCCTCAACTGCTGCACATTATTCATCAGGACACAGGGCTACGAGAAGACATGGGTAAAAGTAATGAAGGTTCAGACTCGGTAAAGCAAACTGCAGGTTCTAAAATATTAAACATTTTTGATTTAAAGAAAATATAAATCCAGGTCAGTGATTCTAAACAGAGTCCCACCCTCTCTTCTGGCAGAAGCTAAAACGTTGCACCACAAAGCTGAGATCCAAAACCTTTCATCATCATCCTTTCATTTTTGAATCTGATTTAAGAGGTTAAATTCAAATAAAATACTACGTGGCATCTGTGGCTGAAATGTTAAAGGCAACAAGCAAAATGTCAGGAAGATTAATCGTCTCCTAATGTGTACAACATAGCTGTAAACACAGAGCCTCTGAATTGTTTCATCTCACCAGAGCTTTCTTAAAATATCTACTCCAGTTTGCAGATTGTATTTGATTAGGGATTTTCTTGTTGCTCTCATTATGAAGACGGATGTCTGCAGGATATAGTGTTTTTAATTCAAAAGTAAAAGTAATCAGTCTAATTTAAATACAAACATTTAAAAAATATTTTATTATTTAAAATGCATCAACAGAATTACTTTGATCAGCTCTGTGTGCAAGGACAGAATTTCATGTAATGCCTATTGGGGCCAGTGGGGGAGCTGGCTCCCTCGGAGGGCTTAAGCCAACCAGCCATTCCTCCCCATTCCCACACATTTTTCTCCTCCTGCTCCCTCACATCATCACACAAACATGCACATAGGACTTTGGGGGTGGACAAGTCAGGGGGTGCGAGTATGGACCCCATTTCCACATTCCTGTGGCAACCAACGACATTCCACGAAAACACACATTTAGGGCCTTGGGAGTAAGCACATTCAACGGCATTTGGCAAGGGGATCTTTCAGCCTCATCTCAGGTGCCGGTGCCCACTTCTAATTTTAAACTGCACTTAGACACTGAGGGCTGTGGGGGGGAAGAGGGGTGGTGTGATGGCATCAGCTGGCATAGGCCAGACGAGGCCTGCACTGCCCGCTCACCACAGCCACGAATACATCTCATCAACACGCACCAACACTATTGGAGCAGGTGGATGGAGACTAGGGGGTCTTAGCAAACCTTTGTTGTCGCTTGGCTTCCCAGGGCTGGAGGGGGAGCTGGCCGTCTGGCTGGGGTCTGGGTGGTGGGTCGCTTTGCTCGGCGTTGGACGGGGGAGCCTGCTCATCAACACCCCAGCACAAAGGGTCGAACTCTGGGAACCGGTAATGGTTGTACCTTTTGTGCAGCAGTACCAGGACCAGAGTGAATAGGGTGTGTATGGGGAGTATGGGTGGGTGTCTGGCGTGCATTTTTGTACGTCTTAGCTTGTATGTGTGAGCATGAGGGAGGGAGTGTCTGACTGTGTCTGTAAATGACTGTATATGTCAGGTGGGGCCTTTGACTCCTCCCCTCTCCTGGGACTTCTTTTGCTGCTATACATCTTCGCCTCCCCTCCCCCGCCACACCCGGTGTGGAGTGTGGTGCCTTGGTCTGCCTGAGTGTTCGCGGCTCCCGGGTCAGGAGGTTTAAGATTTTTAGAGTCTGTCTGATTAATCCCGGTGGCTGCCTTGTGGGATCTGGGTCCCTGGGCTCTGTTGGGTCCCCGGCGGGGCTGGTCGCCCCTGGGTCGCTGGGTTCCGGGCTCGGCCGGCTTGGGGGTGGGAGGCTGCGGGCGGGCCTGTAGGATTGCCGCTGATATCCCCCGGGACTCTGCCGGCTGCTGGTTGTGGCTCCCTGGGGCAATCCTCTGTGCCTCTCGAGGGGGGCAGGGGCTTTTCTGGTTGCAGTCTCCCTGGGGTCCCTGCGTTCTGGGGCAGCTCCTGAATCTCGGAGACTTGGAGCTCCTTCCATCTCCTACACATCTTTGGGGGGCAGATTTGTGGCCCCTCACACTCTCTATTGGACCCCCCTATAGAGAAACCTTACATATACAAGTGTGGGTACGCACACAGGTGCTCACATGGTGCTCTCATAAGTATGGACTTGGGCACGTTCAACACATGTCGGCTGTGGTTGGCACTTAATGCACTGTGATTTATTATCGTGATTGTTCAGTAAAACAATGTTGATTTTATATTTCCTCATCAGGTTGATGCAGTGATAGTTGGATTGCTGTGTGTCCCTTTTCTTTTTTTCTCTCCTTCTGCAGGTCTAAAAGCAGACTCTTGTTCATCATTGATTTGTTTGTTTATTATTTTGTGCATGTGAAGAATTTAAACAGCCTCATTGCAAGCATGTTTTAATGCTTTATTGATAAAAATCTTAATTCCAAGATTCCAATGATTTATTAAATTGGCACTTTTGGACCTCCATAGGAAACCACTAATAGAGACATTTTCTGACGGATACAACAACACAGATGAGAAAACAAATATATATATATATATATAACTTACAATTTTCTCTTTTTCAATATAGGATGGAAAACCCTTAGTCAGAATGGCGCTGTACTGCAGAAGGACTTTGGCAATTGTCTGCAAAAGTTAAAAGGAACAAAGGCTTTGAAAGTAGTATATCATCTAACTTTATAGAAATTGCTGATGTTTAGATTTATTACACTTGACAGAATGTTGTCAATCATTTTACTCAATCAACATATATTTTCAATTAAAATTGAGCAAAAACAACATTCAATATTTTGCTGAATCTTGAATATTTTTAGATGCACATCTACTAGCTCCAAGAGCTTTGGTTTAGAGTTAAAATAGTTCATGCATTTAGAGGTGATTTTACGCTCGGGTGATTCAGTGCGGCTGGTTACCTTGGAGAAGCGGCGGCTGTACTGAGCCATAACATTAGGATCAGGACATTCCAGTTTCTTGATAATCTCAAAGCTCTGGTTGAGCTGGGTGAAGATGTCCACCACAGAGCAGGAGAACAGAGCATGCTCAGAGGTCTGCTGGAACTGACAGAAGATAAAAAACAACATCAGTAAGACATTAAAAACCAGCACAGGTGCGTTATGAAATATTTACATGCTGAAACAGAACTTCCACCTGATAAAAGAGCTCACAGGCAGACATAGAGATGAATTCTAATGGACTTACTCCATCTTTCTTGTCTCTCTCCAGGGCTCCATGCATAAACTCCATTGACACGTCCTCATTTTCATCCAACCACTGCAGAACAAACTGCACAAACCATCTAAAAAGGAACACATAAATGAACAGGACGTTTCCTCCCTTGAATGATCTCAACTTTCATCTGTTACTTACGAGGGGTAGTCAGGGACAACACCCTTGAAGTTTGGCAACTCTTTGACATATTCATTGCAGAGCCACTTGACTTTGAAGTGGAGGTTCATGTAGTCTGTGCTCTTACACAGTCTGTGTTTTTCGTGTTCTGCAGAGAAAACATAGAAACTGTGAACAAAACTGTAAAATAGTAACAACAGTGAAGAAAACTAGATCATCGTCATTATGTTTCTCCATTTAAAGTAGGCATTCACCTTTGACTGGCAAACAAAAACACAACTATTCCACTGCCTCTGTTCACTTTTCTTTCTTGGGTTGGAGTTGCTAATAGTTAGCTTCTACTAGCCGTAATGCACTTTGCTCTCGCCTGACTGCTAAATCAACACAGCCTTCTGCAGTCACAAGTGAGACCACGACAAAACTTAAAGTGTGACTTAGTTTTTTTTTTTTCCTGATCGGATCATTTGGAGGTCCATTTTCCATTGAAAATGTCCAAATGTTCAAAGGGGTGGGGTAATTCTCCATTGGGGAGTCTACGACCTGGGGGGTGGGGTGGGGTGGGGGGGGACGACGACTGGGAGTATGATGAGGGAGATGACCGTGTCTTTTATCTGAAATCTGTTTTGTACTTTTGGAGGGGGGGTCCATCTCACCATTTTCTGGTTAAGAATGAGTCTTTCTAGTCAAATAATCTCTTTCAAGGAAGGAAGAAATGTGGTTGGGGGACTTTCACCCCCCAAATTTCTGGGACTCTACCTAATGTGGTCCACAAGTGAAAAAAACTGCTATGGTACTTCTAAAAATGTGACCTTATCCCTCTGATACTAATCCCATTTTTCTATTTTCACTTGCTGAATGGTGATGTTCAACAGTCTCAGTAAATATTAAAGCCACCATTAAATTAATTATCAGCAAGAACAGCTTAGCAAATACATAAATTCCCAGAACACCCAGATAGTAATGTGATTTTATGACTACCTTCCAAAGCGTACTTCATGTCCTGAGCAAACAACATCCACATGACCTCCGCTGACACCTTTCCTACATTCAGTTCCTGAGGAAACCTGTGTGAGAAGAGATGAACGAGCCATGCACGATAATCTAATCAAATATAACAAAAATCTGAACAGAAGTTTAATAAAAAATGTGTTGCTGATGAGAAAACAATGTTTAAAAAATGAAGTTACTTACTGATTGAGCACAGGTGTATAGCAGTTCCTGTCTTCCTCTATGATGGAGACGATGAGCATGATGAGTTTGGGCCAGAAGTCCAGGTTCTTGATGCTTGGGCCCTGCTCCTCCAAAGGCAACTCCTCTTTGTTCTGGATTAAAACATAAAACCACAGCATGGAGGGAAATGGTGTCAACAGCAATGGACAGGTTTCACACACACATGATGCAGTTTGAAATAACTCACTGCATCTGCAGGTTGGTACTGTCTGCTGTAGAGCTCATGGCAGTTATTGAAGATGTAGTCATATGTAGAGTTGAGACAGGCTTTGACACAATCCCTCACAACCTGGCTGGCTCTGGGTGGGGACTGTAACTCCTGGACCTGAACACCAGATGGAGACGGAAACACTGTGACTAGTTCTGTTCAGCTGATCTCAGTTCTGCACAATCAATCACTGACAGAACAACTTATAAGCTTTAACAGTAAACCCATCACATGCAATCATCACTAAAAAAATACATAATATATAAAACAAACAAACAAAAAAGAAAATAAAGGCAAATGTAGAACATTAAGCTTTTTTTCACCTTCATTCTGAAAAAGGTGATACTGGTTAGAAGGTCCACCGTAGATTTTAGATCCTGTAATCGATCTTTGTTGCTGGCAGGAAAATGATTCTACAAGAGATAAAAACATTTTATTTACCAGTAAATTTATTTATCTTGATGTAGAAGTCAGCTTAAGACTTGCAGCTTTTTTAGACAATAGAAGAAGAAAAAAACAAGTTTTATATAGCTCCTCTCGAGATAAAAATCACGAGGCGCTAGGGCTGGGTAATATGGCCTAAAATCAGTATCACAATATATTGAGGAGTTCACCTTGATAACGATAAATGGACGTGAACTACATGTAAGCGCAAAACAAAAGTTGTCCACTAGATGGGGCCATCACATGTATTACATTGAGTCACATTGTCATGTGACTACAGGTGGAACAGCTTCATAAAGTGATGTGAACATCGCCAACCTAGGCACATCTTTTCTTTTTTTAATTATTGAATTTATTGATAAGGCATCGGTTAGAGTCAAATATTTTGATAGTTCTTGATATATAGCTTAGCCATCTCGAGGCGCTTTGCAAGAACAAACATTTAAAATAATTAAAAGAAATTTTAAACATTTTTAAAGGGGCATTATGGAAGTTTGACAGCCAAAACATGCATAGAAATAATACATTTCTTCTTCATACATTCTCCTGCAATGCCCTGGTCCTGTAGAATGAGCCCTGGCATTTTTACTGTGATTGCCTGTTTTTCTGTAAAATCACAGAAAAAGAGAGCTGCTCGGGTCGAGCAGGCTGCATCATGCGCGTTCACACTCAGACATTTCCCTCCGAACCGTTCTTTGAACGTTGTTTCAGCTGTCATCAAGGATATAAATGTTACAGATACAAAGGATGTCACTGGTGCTTTAGCTCGCCTAATAAGATGTTGGGCTTTCGTGCAGCAGACCCAGGTTCGATTCTGGATGTGAACATAGTTGTTTTAGTTTCTTTTTTACATTAATGATATATTTTTTTACAGTAAGATGCCCAAATTTTTCCTTGAGACTTGCCGAACGGCATTGAATTCACAGATGAAAAAGATGTGGGTTCAACTTTCATTTTGGAACAATTTTTCAAGCAAGGGAAGGGAATGATCCGAGCATGCAGGAGGACTGACCCATCTTAAACCTTTGTCAGCTGTGCTGAAGAGAAAGGTACAGAATCAAATTATTTAATTAATTAGCTGCGCGTTCTCCTGTCCTCCGGGCCACACACACACACACACACACACACACACACACACACACACACACACACACACACACACACACACACACACACACACACACACACACACACACACACACACGGGACTGTCTCAGCTGTTATTTTTGTTAAGGAGTGTGCACGTACAGCATGCGCGCCTCGTGCACGAGCCTACTATTGAAGCTGCCGTTACGCTTTTGGCCTGAGGGGGCAATCGCGAGCATAAAAATTCAAAACTCCATAACGTCCCTTTAAGAAAAATATTCAAAGTATAATAAAGATGGAAAAAATAAAAGTTGTGATTATAAATATTACGTTTTATGAATAAAAGTGTAAACTATTTTATGGAGTATTTTTGATATAACAAGAAAATTACACAAAATTGTGAACTGGGTAACTGATCCCCAGCTGATTAAAAGTAGATGTCATACCATTTAAGCACAGAATTTGTTTCAGAGTAAGAATCTTCTTACCCTGTAAGTAGAAAGGTCAATGCGTAGGGAGTTGTGTAGCTGGTCCAACAACTTTACAAAGCGTTCTTTCTGTATGAGGAAGAAAATAAAAACATATCAAAGATTGAGCACATTTTGGACAAAGACAGTGTTCTTTTCTTTCTCTCTCTCTCTCTCTCTCTCTCTCTCCCTCTCCCTCTCCCTCTCCCTCTCCCTCTCTCTCTCTCTCTCTCTCTCTCTCTCTCTCTCTCTCTCTCTCTCTCTCTCTCCCTCCCTCCCTCCCTCCCTCCCTCTTCCTCTCTCTCTCTCTCTGTGTGAGTGTTAGTACAAACCCCAAAGTTGGAAGCAGCGAAGCGATCAGAGGCGGACACATTGGTGGATGCGGTTGTGTGGGCGTAGAAGGCATTAATGTTAGCCAGCAGGCTGCTCATCACTGCAGGAACTCCAGGACACATGTATTTGGTTGACAAGCATGCAAAGTGTCTGAAAAGAAAGGCACAATCAAAAAAAAAAAACATCTCCTGTCTTATGTTCTACGTGAACAGAGGCAAAAGCGGTTGACTCCTTATGGATATCTTCTGTTGAGGTAAAATTAAATGGTAGAGATCAGCAAACTAATTTTAATATCAGACAAGAATAAATTGAGTAAAATCACAGTTCTATAACGATGACTGAATTTCATTGCAAACACTACTCTTTCTGCAAACCTAGCTTAAATGCATTGAATAAAAGTCAGTCTGTAAACTTCCAAGCTAACTGTGGAAGAGGAGGTAGAGAAGGGAGTGATTTATCTTTTGTGTATTGGAGCCAAGTGATTAGTGTCGTGTTCAGCCTAACGCTACATCAGTCTATTGTATATCAGGTTGCAGCGTTACCAGGGGTGTGCTAGCATCGCGAGTGCCAGATTCCTGCCGGCTTTAGACGTTTCCCTGCTTGAACACCGCATATTTGATTAAACAAGTGATTAGCAGTTCCTGCAAAACCCGATGAAGGCTGAGGAAATAATTCAGCTTTTGGAATCAAGTGTCTGAGCAGGAAAATACTGAAAACATTACCTGACCATTAGCATTACAAGACTATTTGTGCGCATGTGCAGTATGAGGTATGGCTCATGGCTCCTTCTAGAAGGTGAGGGGGGGGCAGGTGCAGGAGCTATAGCTGTTTAAATTTCAAAATCTCCTCCTCCTCTCATTAATGACATCATTATATGGACCCCAGCTTTAAAGGGTAAAAACTATCCAAACCAACTAGGCCCTTGTTTAAGAATTATCTCTGATTAACCAAATCATTTGGAAAGCTGAGTTCATTTTTACCAACCATACTCCAGTCTGATTTAATCAGAAAAGGTCAAACGTTTGAACCAAACCACACTGTTTATGCTTAAAACCCTCCAAAGCGGCTAATTTATAAAAATTGTGCAAAAAGGAGCAGCAAGTAAATCCTCCAAAGTGATGCAGCACTTTGGTCAGCTGTCACGCTGTTTTCAAATGCTCTCTATAACTAAATTTGGTATGGAATTGTATGTAAAATACTTGTTAACAGTTACTACTTCCAACAAAGATGTTGCAACCCATTATCAAGATTAGGGGCCAATTACTATTTCACACAGAGCCAGTTTGGTTTGGATAGTTTCCCCCCTTAATAGATGAAATCATCATTTAAAAACTGTACTTCATATTTACTCTGTTACTTTTTAGCCGATATTAAAATGGGTTTGACTATCTGAAAATTTTAAGTGGGACTGAGCAGCAAAAACAAAGCGAGCAAATACATTTTTCACAGCAGTGACTGAGTCTTCTGGGTACAGCTATAAAACCATTTAACGATCCCTACCACAAATGTTCATTTAATTTAACTTCCTGGTAGGTTTGGGCTAAATAATAGCCCACTGAAGTATTCTTGCCATGAAAGATGCTTCAAATAAATGAACACTGGTATGAACCTGGGCTACTTATAGATGCAAATCCATCAGAGCACTTTTACAACTGACTTTTCTACCTTTAAAAGCTTGCAGATGAAGATAAAGCAGATGATGTACCTATTAAACAAACAGTAACATGCGTGACTTACGTCATGGCCTGGTAGATCGACTCAATCCCATAACGCATTGCAAACTCATCAACTATTTCCTGTGCCACTTCATCATAGTAGACCTTCCATGAATCATCTCCGCGAGCCTCTGGGATTTTCACAACACCTTGACCCAGAACATCGGTTGAATGGTGGAAGAGATTCTGTGAGGGACGGAATGGTTGCAATTGAAATGGACCTTCTGAAAAAAAGATGTGGAGAAGTTTGGATTTCACAATCACTCTACCTCATGCAAACAGGTGTACTGCACGTGATATGGAGCCACTTTCTCCTCTCCTTTGATCTCCACATTGATTTGGAGGCGAATGGCACCCGACACAGCTGACTTATCTGTCCGCTTCTCTGTAAAAAAATAAAATTACAAACACAAACTCTGTCATTCAGACACCTTTGCACCTCGATTCACAACCTCGATCCAAATCCGTGCACACACACACTGAACCAGATCTGTTAGCACAACATTAATTACAAGTTGTTAACGTGGCAGTTCTATTGTTGGGGGTTTTGTTTCTACAGCCCGATGGCAGCACGGAGCCGGCTGTGCTAATAGAAGTGTTCCAGCTGATAGTGAGTAAGACAATGGGAGTGGGCTGTGTGGATCTGAACAGGAGCTTCCCAAGAAGAGGTGGAGCGCTCAGACTCATCCTGCTATTAAGTGTAATTTGTACATGTCGGCTGAACGGTCAATTTCCAACTGAAGAGCTGCCATTTGGTAATCTTTTGTCAAAAGGTAAAAAAAAAAGAAAGTAAGGAAAAGAGGCAAAGAAGAGAAAATGAACTAAGCATTTTACACAACTGTTTTACTACAAACTGTACCTCGAATCCCTCCTAACCATTCTATAAACAGTTGCATAATTAAAATTAAAGCCACCTGCACAGATATTCTTACATTTTCATGCAGACAAGTAAAGCAACTCCACTGTGACAAAAAGGACTTGTTACAGGCAAAATATTGTTATTTATGAGGATCCACAATAACCCACTGTGTGGAATCTGCTGCAAAAACTCCTATTAACAAACAAAAGGACAACCAGAGGTGTGAGATAAATGTAGCATTCATATGATATCCAGGTGGTTGTCATGATTTGCTAGAAGGCTGAGGAAACAAGGCATGTAAGAGAAACTAGAGTAAAATGTGCAGACAAACATTTTGTGTGCAATGTAATTTGCAGAAAAAAAGTCAAGCAGCCTTTGAGTTACACTCAGAAATACTTTTATAATGCCGTTTTTAAGGGAAAAACTAAATATCTTTATTGTTCTAGAACAAGTCTTCATAATCATATTAAAGGACGGCTACTACACTGAATTCAACATGACATATTTGCATTTTCTTTTCACATTAGAAGATGTTATACGGACCCAGGTTGTACCAGACGTCCATTTCTCCGCTCAGCGTTCTGACTTCAATGATGCTCTGACCCAAGAAATCATCAGACTCTCTCTTCAGACGTTGTTTCACCCTGGACTTGATGTCATCATCTTCGTCCCAAACACGAACTTTGATTCGGTCTGAAGAATTATGGCACTCACTGGCATAGATGAAAAGGATTGTAAAAACTGGAAATGTGTACAATGTCCATTTTTTTATAGTTTGCTAATTAAATCTAAAAATATGTTTTATTGAAAATAGCACAAAGATAATATATCAAAAGTATAATTAGACAATGCTACACCATTTTTTTTGTAACAGAAAAAAAGGTTTTACATAGTTTATATTAACCTCCATAAAGTGCAGTACCAACAAACTTTTTTTTTGTGGCTCCAATGGATTGGGTTTAGTTTTCTTTTTTAACATTTTACACTAAGAAATATTTAAGTTTTTGTCTTAAATAGAATTTTTTTTGTTGTGGATGTTTTTGATTTTCATTAAACCAAAGACCTAAGTGAAGATTAAGTGTCAAACAAAAGGAAGGTCATTTGTGTTAAAATAAAAAAAACATTATAGTAATTAATAGGGGTGGGAAACTTCAGGCTCCTCATGACGCGATTATAAAACAAACAGTGATGCATCTTTTAACCCTCTCACCTACCCTCCATACAACCTGAGACACATGTTATACTCACAAATGAAACTTTTCTTCCCAGACTGGATTGAGGTTCCCATAAATCGTCTTCGTCCTCTTCTTTGTTTTGCCCACCTGGACTGTGACATATGGATCACTGGAACCAGTTTTGTCTTTTGCTTGGAGTCCTTGTGCACAAACAACTGGAGGAGTGACACATGCATAAGAAACTTGGCTACTTGACCAACATGACAAGAAGTGATGCTCTACTACTTAAATATTAGGATTTGGGGTGCGCTTTGACCAGTGGGATACCTGTAATAGTGACCTTGGCTGACCACTTTGAGGTTCCATCTAAAACACTTTGTTTGATAGTCTTCATCTGCTGCGCGTGAAGGGCTTTACTGACCACAAACACTTCCCTGATCAGCTCAAAGATCTCAGGTTTGTTCCTTTCCCTGATCTTCATCCTGTCCTTCATGGCCATAATGATATTCTGAGTACGGTCTTCAGCGCCATGCTTGGAGCTTTTTTCAGCCGCGCCTTTGTCAAAGATATAAACAGGTTGCACAAATATTAATATGAAGAAAATAATACTTCTGGTGAAATGTTTGAATACTACTCACGTTGTAAACAGTCAGCATTCAGTAGCTCTTGGCACTTCTCATGACATTTGACTCCACATTCAGAGCAACGCATGCCTTGGCGAGCAATCCCCCATAGCAGCCCTTCACACTCGTAGCAGTATGTAGGTGTGGTGGCTGTCCAAACCTCAAAGCTATGTGGCGTTGTGCAGGATATGGGGTAGACAAGAGCCTGTAGAGTCTTCTTGTAAACATGGTTTTTCTACCCCCCCCCCACCCCAAAAAAAAAAGGAAATGGTTGCATCAATTGCAAAGCACTACTGATTCAGAACACTTAAATTGGTAACTCCTTACCAGCTCCTCATCCTTAACTGAGGACCGAGCAGCCATGGCAGAGGTGATCCCTGCCTTCCTGGCTTGAACAAGTGACTGAACAGGAAACAAAAATGACAATTTGCCTAAATTTGCATTCTGCAAGCAAAACACACCGAAACCCAAGAACACCACCATGATACTGCTAGAGCATTAAGGGAGGTGAGGATGGTTAAAGTGATGATCAGTAGTGTTAGTTTAGTTTGTTTTTCCTGTTTGTGAACGCTTTCATTTCAAAACCCATCTGAGTATAGTTAGCTTAAAGCAGCTAGTAAAAAGCAAAGCAATTAAAATTTAGTTTAAAATAGAACAAGACTTTGGTTGTACTTTACTATTAATTTACTATTTTATAAGATTAAAAAGGCTCAGCAATTTAGGAAAAACATTAAAAAAATAAAGGAATGATTGGTATACTATATACTTCAGGGGTAATATCAAGTAGAAAGAAAAGCTACCCATAACCAAAGGGAGGCATGCATGTTTTCAATTAGCAATAGATAAAGAGCAATCATAGAAATTCCCATGCTGCAGACATACATGTTTGAGGCAACTACTGTTTTAGTTACCCTACTTGATATTGTTTTGCTTCAGAAAGAAAAGGGAGTGGCAACTGTGCTCTATAACTTACCATAGCCTGACCAAGAAGAGTGAATGCATTCAAGAGAGTTGTAGGGGAATAGTTTCAGGTTTTAGGAGAGGAGGGAGAGACAAATTAGCATTCTGATTCAAAATGTGTCTGATGACAACCCATTTTAAAGATAAAAATAATAACTGTAACTTCTCTGGTGGTTTCACAAAGAGAGAGACATGCACTCACAAAGACATAACAAAACATGCAAGATAACAAACAATATGTAATATGTGGCATAAGTATTGGTACTTACCACATCGCTGACCAATGGGATGGGCTTCTTTTTACGCAGGTCTGGCATGCTGTCAATTCCATACAGACCAGATCCACTACTGAGTAAAAACATACAATGTGTAGAAAATATTTTAATGTTTGACACAAAAATGTAAGTGATTCCAACAAATAAAAAAGTCATCAGTAGCTACAAAACAAACACGATAAACAGTAGCTGTAAAACGGTCATCTTACCCCGGTTTGACCCACGCCTGTTTAGTATTAGGTTCCACATCTCGGACCTAAAAGATTTAAATCATTACAGTTTAGAATGCCGCACACTACAAACTGTGGAATGCAGAAAACTGGTTGAGTTTCACCTCTCTGTCACAGAACATGCAATCAAATAAAAATAAAAATGGCATGTTTAAAACAACAAATGAACATGTTTTATTTGTACAATATGGTATGAAATTAAATGGTGAGTATGTGGCTAAAATACACAACTTTAGAAAAAGTTTAAATATGACGGCTCAAGAGACTTTCTAAAATAATCAGATCGAAGCAAATCTGTACAATAATTTCTCATAAACCTCTATATTTTGACTGATAGAACTCATAAGACTTTCATCACTGTGCATCAACTTAATTATTTGGTGTTTAATTTAGTATAAGCTTTAATCCAATGAGTTTGACATTGTTTGCATAAAAATCACACCCAAAAACCAAATTAAAACCACTATGAGGCTACAACAAATTTGTGTAAAAACTAAACCAAATTTGAATTAATGCCTTTAGATGAAATGGACCTTTGGGCAAAACAATGTTTTGTTTTCTCAAAAAATAAACACAGGCAATGAGCAAAAGGTATGACACTATGCCAAAATCACCTTGACAATAAGAACTCAAAACCATAGAAAGACATGGCTAATATTAGATGAGTAACCTGATTCTCTTCTTTTCCAAACTCTGAAAAGAAACAGGAAAAAATAAGAACTTGAAACCACAGAGTATCAAGAAGAATCTATTTAATATACATATTGTTCCAAGCAAGTGTGTGCAATACAGCAATGTCTTCATGAGGATCAATTGCTCATCTTCCCAGTGTGAATTTGGTAATCATGCACATTTAACAATATTTGCTCCATTCTCAATAAAATAAAAATTTATACATCTATATCTATATCTATATATATATATATATATATATATATATATATATATATATATATATATATATATGTATATATGATTTGACAATAGAGATTAGAAAGAAAAGTTGTTGCAAAATACCTGAAACAAGTTCATCTAAGGATTGGGATCCCTGAGAGACTTGAGAGCCATGAGATCCATGGGAACCTTGAGCAGATCTGGAAAGTCTGTAACGGGTTTGCCTCTTTTCCTTCAGAATGCGCTGAAAATTAGCTATCCGTTCTCGGTGACTTGCATCAGTCAGCTTGTCTTGATTTCCCTCACCTTGTAGATCATTTTCACTGATGGGACTCAACCATGTCTCATCTGTGCTGAGCATTCGGCCAGGAGAAGCTTCAGTCTGAATTGCAGGATGGTGTTCTGGTACTGAGAGAAGGTTGGATTGTCCTGCAGCAGTTGCATGAGTTGCATGTTCTTCATTTTTTTGAGAATCCTCTGATATTTGATTCTCTGTTGGAGTGCTGGGAGGCAGGCTTTTTTTAAGTAGGGATGGCTTTAGGAAGAATGATATATTTTCACTAGTCTCACTGTCCTCTTTGGGTAAGTCTAACCGAACAAGATTACCTCTTGAACTAAAGTCCTCTTCTGTAAAGGAAGCACTGGTCTGCTTCTCTTTTATGTCATTGGATTGTCTGACTGGAGATGAACAGACTTCAGTCTCAGCATCATCATTCACTCCTTTAGAGCTGGATACATCCAGTTTTTGCAATGCCCCCTTCAAAGCAAACCCAAAAGTAAGTACAGTCTTGCTAAGTGTTGCTATATCCAGCACTTCATCAGAGGTTTGGGATATGCTGTCAAAATCTATTTCGGAAGACCCTGGTGACAAGGTTTCCTCTATATCTTCCCTGGAAATACTGTGATCTGTCCACTCCCTGTCCAAACTCTTAGCAGACCCTAGATCAAGAGTGTCCCTAGATGATGGGCAGTCATCGCACAGTGAATGTGGCTCTAGATAGCCATCATCACCTTCTGTCATTGGAACAGTAGAGCAGCTCAAGCTTAAAGAAGGTGCACTGCCAAGGTCATTTGCACAGGCATCCATGGTGTGGTAACCAGAGCTACGTGAAAATGGACAGTTTGCAGCACAGTCACACTCCAAATGTTCTTCTTCAACTTCATGTGCACGATGCCTCCAGTTCACCATACTGGAAGAATTTGAAGAACAAGTGTACTGGTGTCCAAACAATAATGAGAGGTGCTCAGAACTGGTGTGAGAGGAATGATCGGCATGACTAGGAAGTGCTTCCTCTGTGGCACACTGTTTCCAAATATTTCTACCTTTCTCCAGCTCTTCACTATTTGCATAAGAAGTGTCCTCCTCACTCCAACCTCCATCTCTGCTTATACTGCACTGCATACCCACAGAAGGCCATGTGTCACCAGAAAGAAAGCATTCTTCAGGACATTTGGAGCTATGGCAGGAGGACAAAGAGCTAGTGCTTTGGTAATTCTGACCACAGTGAAGATCAAGATAGCAAATATCTGGTTTTGTATGACTTAAAAGACCTGTGTTGGAAGCTTCCTCTGAGTTTTTGTCTACTTGACAGATTGATCTAAAAGTGGTGTTATCACTTTGCCAGTGTTTGGTTAATTTGTTTGTTGTTACAAATCCTGAATCTTTTCTGTATTCTTTGTGATCCAGCAATGGGCTGAGGTCGCTTCCACGAAGACACGTAATGGCATTCTGCCTATCCAGGCTTCCCCGTCTGGTGCGTGGTGCTTGAGAAACTGGGCAAGATTCTGGTGCAGCTGAAGCTCCACTGTACAGCTCACCAATTTCACTGAGGACTGCATCAACACAGCACGATACTTCATCCACTGAACCTCGCACAGATGTTAGATAATGCCTCAGGTCAGAGATTTCCTCCTGGATCTTATTGATACCTTTTAACTCTTTTAGGATATGTTCCACTATGTTATTAGAACCTTGCTCTGTTACGGAACCTCCCATCTTCTCCTCTGAATCCTTTTTGGAGAAGAACATTGCATTCTCCTGAGAAACAAGCTGATCCTGACACTGAGGGCTTCTATCCTCCTCAGCTGAGGCTTTGCTACAAGTTGAGTTGACTGATGATAAATCAAGGGTGGTATTATCTTCTACTCTATGTGGGAAGTTCTGCAGCTTTTTGGGCACACTTTGTCCTATGTTTGGGCTCTGTAATCTCTTATTCTGTAGCTCACATCTCTTGGGTGAGATTTGATGCCGCTCTGGGATGTAGGGATCATTTTGTCTACTGATATGTCCTCCGGGGAACATTACGAAAAAGCGGCACTTGTGATGAGCTGTTTGACATACGGACAGACCACTGCCTCTGTTACCCCGCCTTGAGTGGATTAAGAGCAAGTCAGAATCTTAAAACTGCAAGGGAGTACAAAAAATGACAAATTTTGTTTCAACAGAACTGATTATCGTTAAAGAAAAAAAATGTAGCTTTCAGTCCATTGAGCACAAAGAATATTCATCATTTGAGTACAAAAAAAATCTTCTTAGTATAGGAGTCAAACAGACAATGCTGTTTCAACTGACCTCTCAGTTACAGTGACAACTTGTAGAACCAAGCAGATACCAGCTGCTGAGATGTCTGTAATTAGAATGTTCAGGAAAGACAGAGCAGCAATTAGATGACGAGTTGATTTTCGCCTTTGAGGTCATGCCAATCAAATCCAAACCAGCTGTACAGCATGAAAGTTCTGTCCCATTTCTCATAGTTATTTCACCAGTTTTATATAAAATAAACTATTATCAAACCACAACAAAAATTGGAGTGGTATTTATTTAGGCATGCTTGATTTACTTACAACAACACAATTTTTCTGTGCAATAATTGTAATGCTGGCATTTACCCCACATATTTACAAGAATTTGGGGCAACAAATAAAGATCAATAACCAGTGCTGTTTTTCTAAGAAAATAAGTCGGCTAAACAAATTTGAAACCCCACTATTATATAATGCTATGATATTTTTGTGTATAGCATAATTACCTACCAATCCCTGCCCTTGCTAATGGGCAGGAATTGCCCAACTAGTAAACTAGACAGGTAAAAATAAACAGAAAAACAAAACAATAAATAAATTAATTAATTAAATAACATTTGCCATTTTATTAATATACTGTCCTGAAAATTTAAATAATCTCACATTTACAGTACATGGTCGTTAAATATGCTAACAATCAGGAGTAATAACCACATTCACTATATTTTGTCAATTTTAATTAGCATGTAATAATAGCTGTAAAATTAGGATACCTGCAATGAACCATGAGATTTATATAAGATGAGCACTTTTTAATTTATTGACCTAACTTAAGCACCTGGCACTAGGTCTACAATAAGCACTTGTATAAAGTATAACTATTGGGCTTATAAACATTTGATGGTTTGAAATTTGCACATCAGTCAAAATATCCAAGCCTTATTTTCAACATTTTACATAATGTTTTGTTTTACAAAATGCATATCAACATAAACAACTTTCTTAAATAAATTCAGTTTCTAACACAGAAGCACTCCAAAGACAACAGGCTAACAGATTACATTAATCAATAGAAGCCAAACATGTCCCATTGTACCAATATTTTATAACTGTATAGCATGCATTAGTAAATATCTAAAGTATCCACAAATATAAAAATGACAAAGAAAAGGCCCTTACCTTATTGAGTGAAGAAAAAAAAATCTGTGCATATCATGCAAGTGTGATTAAATCCACACAGTGGATGAAACTCAGCAGCAGATTTCACTGTCTTATCTAAAATAAAATCCAATGCCTTACTAGTCAACAGTCCTAATAACAAGAAACTAACTAAATATAAACTGGTGAATTCTTCATTTTCACAACTAGAAGGTCAAACATGATGAGCTAAACACATCGGAAAGCAGTTCACCCTCTGTTAAGAAGCCTTTTTCCTCCCACCCTTTTGAATTCTTCCTTTTCTCCTTCTCCTGCTGTCCTCAGGCAGCGTATTACAGCACAATGCTCATCTGAAGCTGCAATGCTGCCAGCTCTTTTGTCATTCACTTTTACTGTCTCCACATTCACCAAGACTCCTATACAAAGTGCTACAGATGACTTTTATGTAATCAAACATTAATAAAAATAAAGGTATAAAATATATACATCTTTGAAAATAAAGATAGGCAAAAATTAAGGCTGCACAATATATCGAAATATTATCGTCATCGGGATAACAGGACGTGTGATAGGCCCATCGCAAAGCACGCCAAAAACGGTAATAAATGTTTGGTTCAAACATTTTCATCCGTGTCATACATCAGCTTTTTGTAAACCAGCTCTGTTTTTTACGCGGAAGTATTATTTGACCAATCAAATGTAGTCCTACTGATCTGCGGGCAATCAGATGGGTCCGTTCGTGCTGAGGTTTCTGGAATCAGCGCTGCTTTCAAACGTGAATGTGAGTCCGCTTGGTGTCGTTAATCATTTTACCGGGCTGACTCCGACCCGTGCCGGTGAACCAACCCACCTTCATGTCGCTAGTGTTAGCCCCAGGCTCCGGTTAGCTTCCAGCTAAAAGGCTACAGCATTCTCCTCCCAGTCCCACCCTGCTAAAGTGGGCCTGGAAAAGTTCCCCCACACATCAAAGTGATTTTTCATTTATGAGCTTTTATAACCTTGTTATTCAGGATAGTTGATTTGCTGCTGCACATAAACTGTCAGTCAGAAGCTCTGCTAGCCGGTTATCTTAGAGGAGCTAGTTCAATTTGTTAGCTTGTTATCAGAATCATAGTTGCAGTTTCATCATCTGAGCTGCTTTTTAAGATCAAGGTAAACTTGTTCAATTTGGGGTTAAAACCAAATGTTTTCACATATTTTCCATGTAGTTTTTTTTTTTGCCAGTTCCTCTTCTGAAAGGTAGACAATTATTTTTCTCTTTCCCTCAAAAAATCATATTTTCAATAAAAATGTTATGTTGTAATGGAATTCATGCATTAGTTTTTGTTTGCTTTGAACCCAGAGCAGGCGTCACACACCAGACGACATCAACACTGCATACTTCAGTGTTTGTTCATTTATCGCAAGTAATATCGATATCGCAATATTAAGCACAGTTATCGAATATCGCAGGTTTTCCTAATATCGTGCAGCCCTAGCAAAAATACTTAACATTACATATTGTGTTCACTGTGACACCACCTGACAGCAAACACTGGACATATATCCTTGTATCCCAAGTAATTTTCTATATAATACAATTTATGGCACTTTTACAGATTTCAGCTTCGATTCAGTCATGTACTTAGCCAGCAATTTACAGTTGATGTAAGCCAATCATTAAAATGACTTCAGGAAAAGGCTGTAAGTGTTATTTTTTTCTGTGCCATGTTGTTAAAATGTTTATTCAATTGAATGGATCCCCATTAAGACAGAAAGGTTTGATTTAGGGATGCACAATATATCGGCATCAATATCCGTATCGGCTGATGTTAGTCATTTTTTAACACATCGTTATCGGTCCAATAAATAAAACTGGGCCGATGTTACCAACCGATATTTTTTTCATATTCTTTCCATTTGTATATCTATTTCAGAGGGTAAGGAGGGGTGATGATGTGTAACTGTTTAGTCCTGCGACAGTGATGGTAATCATCTCGCAAGCGTAAAGGTATGTGTGTATATAAAACATATTGCAAATTCCACTTTATAGAAATAAAGTAAAACATTCAAAAACTCACCTTGCATCATTTCAGTCTATACAACATTTGCTGATTTCAGAAGCGTAAATCGGTATCGGCAAATATCGGTAATCGGCCATAACGGTGATATTAATATCGGTATCTACCAAAAAAATTCATGTCGGTGTATCACTAGTTTGATTTCTTGATTGGGTTTGAGCTTCAGATCATTATCTGATTTATAAGTCATAAATTAAAATCAGTAACAGAAATTGAGCTGTTGGTAGCAGCTCTTCCAAGCCATCTTTGTTTGATAGATTCTTCACATAAGGCAACAGAAAGTTGATCAAAATTCACTGGGACTGATTTTGATTCAGTGTTTCATTTGCAGATTCATCTCTACTGACAAAACAGGGACCTTCCAAGGTACTAAATTGCTATAATGTACGTCTTTTTGGGCTAATATCAGTGACAGTAAATTGCACCCTCTTACATGCCTCAAAATCTTCACAATGTTCCTCGTGTTCCTTATCAAAATTAGAAATTCCAGTTGCAATAAAATTGCACTATAATGTGAAATCACTAAACATATAATGAGACATAATTAAGACAATTTGTGACAAAATGACAGAATGTAAATTTGCACTGTATTTGCATGTTTGTGCACAACTTATTTAAGTGTTATATTTAATATCACAATGGAAAATATTCACACTTCCACATACTGTACATTTACAGCTCACTAAAACAGGCTTAAACGTTTCATTTGCTACAGTGTTAGTTTTATTTCAAACCTTAAAAACATAACCAAAAAAATCCCAAAATTACCAAGAAATTTTTTTTATCCATTATTGAGTATAATGAACTAATTTTTGTTCACGTGTACCCAAAGAGGCTGAACTCAACCAGTTTTAAACAGGTCACAGTACTTTAAATGTTTGCAAAGTGATGATTTAGAGCATTATGTTTTTATTTATTTTTATAAATAAAACATTTTTTCAGGAAAAGAATAAGAAATATGGAAAAGTGGATTAATGAACACTACAGACCTCTCGGAGCTGGACCCGAACTTTATTGATAGCCTTCAACCAACGAACTCTAGATGCGGTAAAGGGTAATGGTGGTCCTCCATCATGGAACCTAGGTCACAAAGATTTACAGAAACAGAAAAAGTATTATTCTTCCACACCTACATGACAGGACATATTGAGCCATCATCCACGCATATGCAGTACCTCTGGAGTTTTGATGTTTCCGTTTCTGGTGTGACATTTCTTAAATCTGTTTTCACATCTGGGGACTGTATACATATCTCCATTTCACTACCAGCTGGGTGGCCACTGGTGGAAAAATGTCCATGTGTGCGTGGCGTGGAGGGATGTCGGCCAGTACTATGATAAGAATGAAAAGACTCCTCCAGTTCAGACCCTCCAGTGCTCTCATGGCCAGTCTCACTAAGTTGAGAACTGGTCTGGCTCAGGTTCCCCGATGACCCAAAGCGACTACTTTCCACTGGACTATAATGGTGAGAGAAGAAAAAAAAAAAAAAAAAAAAAAAAACAGGATCAGAAAAGGCATGGATGACTCTTTATTCCCAATATTTTGTAGTTCATATTTTTTCTTAAAATTTTCAGATGGGTGGGGGTGAATTAAAACATGAACTTTAATCAATTCTAAACCCTAAAAATTTAATGGTTTTAAGGAAAAACCAGAATGGATTTTTAATAAACCTCACTTAAACGCAAAGAACAGTTTACACACACTATTAAGTGTACACTTATCTTATTGAACCGGTTTGGTATAGACAACCCACATTAAAATTCTAGATACCCAACCTTGCAAGGAGGCTGCAGCATGTTGGAAATAATGAAGAATTTGAAGACTGCATCAATTCATGTACAGCATCAATAAGATAGAATTTCTATAACAGAGCTGCAGTTTTAAAAATTTTTTTTACAAATGCTTGCTATGCTATTCAAATAAAAACACACAATGAATGTACATCTGCATATGATACTGGTGTACAGGGAGTGCAGAATTATTAGGCAAATGAGTATTTTGTCCACATCATCCTCTTCATGCATGTTGTCTTACTCCAAGCTGTATAGGCTCGAAAACCTACTACCAATTAAGCATATTAGGTGATGTGCATCTCTGTAATGAGAAGGGGTGTGGTCTAATGACATCAACACCCTATATCAGGTGTGCATAATTATTAGGCAACTTCCTTTCCTTTGGCAAAATGGGTCAAAAGAAGGACTTGACAGGCTCAGAAAGGTCAAAAATAGTGAGATATCTTGCAGAGGGATGCAGCAGTCTTAAAATTGCAAAGCTTCTGAAGCGTGATCATCGAACAATCAAGCGTTTCATTCAAAATAGTCAACAGAAGTGTGTGGAAAAACCAAGGCGCAAAATAACTGCCCATGAACTGAGAAAAGTCAAGCGTGCAGCTGCCAAAATGCCACTTGCCACCAGTTTGGCCATATTTCAGAGCTGCAACATCACTGGATTGCCCAAAAGCACAAGGTGCCAAGGTAAGAAAGGCTGAAAGACGACCACCACTGAACAAGACACACACGCTGAAACGTCAAGACTGGGCTAAGAAATATCTCAAGACTGATTTTTCTAAGGTTTTATGGACTGATGAAATGAGGGTGAGTCTTGATAGGCCAGATGGATGGGCCCGTGGCTGGATTGGTAAAGGGCAGAGAGCTCCAGTCTGACTCAGATGCCAGCAAGGTGGAGGTGGAGTACTGGTTTGGGCTGGTATCATCAAAGATGAGCTTGTGAGGCATTTTCGGGTTGAGGATGGAGTCAAGCTCAACTCCCAGTCCTACTGCCAGTTTCTGGAAGACACCTTCTTCAAGCAGTGGTACAGGAAGAAGTCTGCATCCTTCAAGAAAAACATGATTTTCATGCAGGACAATGCTCCATCACACGCGTCCAAGTACTCCACAGCGTGGCTGGCAAGAAAGGGTATAAAAGAAGAAAAACTAATGACATGGCCTCCTTGTTCACCTGATCTGAACCCCATTGAGAACCTGTGGTCCATCATCAAATGTGAGATTTACAAGGAGGGAAAACAGTACACCTTTCTGAACAGTGTCTGGGAGGCTGTGGTTGCTGCTGCACACAATGTTGATGGTGAACAGATCAAAACACTGACAGAATCCATGGATGGCAGGCTTTTGAGTGTCCTTGCAAAGAAAGGTGGCTATATTGGTCGCTGATTTGTTTTTGTATTGTTGTTGAATGTCAGAAATGTATATTTGGGAATGTGGAGATGTTATATTGGTTTCATTGGTAAAAAAATAAATAATTGAAATGGGTATATATTTGTTTTTTGTTAAGTTGCCTAATAATTAGGCACAGTAATAGTCACCTGCACGCACACACACAGATATCCCCCTAAAATAGCTAAAACTAAAAACAAACTAAAAACTACTTCCAAAAACATTCAGCTTTGATATTAATGAGTTGTTTGGGTTCATTGAGAACATGGTTGTTGTTCAATAATAAAATTATTCCTCAAAAATACAACTTGCCTAATAATTCTGCACTCCCTGTATATCGGCAGGCCAACGTATTCAGACCAAAGCATTAATTGGTAAAACTGTAAAATATGCAGATTCAATTGAGTGTGTTTGACATTCAAACCTTGAAATGTTTTAACAGATTTCATTAGTTTGGTTGAAATATAGATTAACACAGGATGGCACAGGAATGCAAACTTATGGGTTGTCTGAATGTCCAATCAAATCAGAACTCCAAGAAAAAAGTTTAATCTTAATTAATTTAATGTGACTTATTGGTATGCTGTTGTTTTGTTCATTTGTCAATTCATTGAAAAGTACATGACCTAAATTGCATTAAATGTTAAGTTAAAACATGTCCACGAAAATGTGATGTTAGGTCAATTTTAAGTTTAAAATACAATATTAGCAGTGAGAATTCTTTTTTTTAGGAAAGTAATTTTAAATTTCTGAGGACGATTTTAAAATAACTTCAGAATTTGTTTTGGAATTCTGTTTTCAGATGACATTCCCAGCTGTAGAGACAAACACACAAATTCACAAAGACTAAAGTAAATTAAATGGACTGCAGAGCTGGACAGGAAAAACACATTTTCCCCCAATCTGCCAATGAAGCATACATGGTGGAGGGGGTCCCATTTATTATGTTTTTACTAGCCTTTTTTCATTCAATAGATCCTTCTTGAACTGGTTGTCCAGCTGCATTCCAGTCGCAGAACCTGCAGAGGGATCTGTTTCTACAAGCCATTCCTTCTCCTTTAGGGTCAGGGATACTGAAGGATCTACTTCAGGAGCAGAGATGCAAATCTGAGGGTTCTCTAGATCATCTGTGCAACCTACCAGTTCATTCTTAAGGGTATCAGATGTTGAAGAGTTATCTATAGCTTGTATTTGACCACTAGTTGTTTTATTAGTTTGGAGCTGAGTTGTAACTGGCGATGCTTGGGGTTTGGGTGGCTCTGCCTGCCATGGAAAACTTAGTTTTGTCCCAAATAATGAGGTGGTTGGCTCTCGTTTCCCAGTAGTAAGACTTTCCTCTTGGAATAAGCTTCCAGAGAGGGATTTTAAACCTGACAACAGAGCATTCCCTCCTTCTGTTTGGGGTGATACAACTGATGGCACTGCAGGTGAAAAAATTGATCCAAGAGAAATTCCAGTTTCAGTCTGTGTGGATATAAAACCAAACAGAGACTTGGCTTGAGGCTGTTCAGTACTACTAGATAACTGAACGGCTGGAGAAGTTTTGTTTGTATCTGGATCTTTTGAAAAAGCCGACTCTAAATGTACATTTTCTTGACTCTCAGGACCTTCTTTAATTATCATTGGCATCTCCTGTTTAACCTCTCTATCTGGGCCTGTATTTATTTTTTCAGTGCCATCTACCTGATTGGTGATATAATTTGTAGTACTCATATACTCATTTGGGACCCCACTAATTTGGGGGCAAGCTGCTACATTTAACGGTGTTAAGTCACCAAGCTTTGTTTGTTTGTGATCATTTTTATTTGTCTCACAACCTGATAGACCTTCGTTTGGCAACATATTTTCATTTTTAATATGGGGCTGTGCACTAGTACCACTTGGTGGCTTTGACTCAACTGGAGTGGATTCAGGCTTGGATGGCTGGCCCATTCCACCAAAAAGAGATCCACCAATGCCTCCAAGAATTGATGCTCCGGTCTGTGATCCTGCAGCCTGCCCTGTGGCACCACCAAACATTCCTCCAAGAAGAGAACTACCCGGCTGTGATGTTGCTCCAGTTCCTCCAAACATCCCACTAAGAAACGATCCACCACTTGGAGTAGCTGTAGATTTGGTAGTGGATCCTCCTCCAAAAACACCACCTAATATTGACCCCCCAGTAGCTGTGGTTGTGGTTTGAGGACCAGATTGTGGAGCAGACCCTTTAAATAAACCTCCCAGTAATGAACCAGTTTGAGGAGATGCTAACTGAATATTCTGCCCTCCAAAAATACCCCCTAATAGTGCTGTTCCAGTCAGACTAGAAGAAGCTTCAGATGATACTCCTCCCAGTCCAAACAAAATCTTTTGTTGGTTTTGCTGGGGACCTTCAGTGGGAGCAGCTGATGGTTTAAACAGGGAAGGCATGAAGCCTGTAATTGCATCTGCAGATGAGTCACCGGACTCAGGAGGGTTCTTCTGTAATTGAATGTCAGGACTCACAGATGGAGGAACTATTACCATCTCTTCTACTTTGGGTGGTGCACTTTCTTGACTCTGGGTATTTATATTCCCTGATTGCATTTGTATACATCTTTCAGAATCTTTAACATGTATATCTTCAGCTAAAGCTGTTGACTTGTCCTTACTTTGACAAATTATCTCTTTGGTGATATTGACATCTGCTCTGGACTCACTTGCCTCAAATGTATTATCAGGTTGCTGTACTGTTTCCACTTGTTCTTTTCTGTGGAAAGCAGTATCAGTTACACCTGCTTCTGCTTCAGCACTAGCTAGGGTGGTGTTGTCATCATTGGGGGTTTTCAGCAAAATAGACTGCCCAGATGAGGTGTCTGTAGGGGGTGTAGTTAATATTGTTTGGCCATTATAAGTTTTTTTATTTGTTACAGAGGGTTTTACAGCTGGAGCAGATCCTACAGGCACAGGGACTAAGTGTGGTTGTGTTTCATTTGTACTAGTATGCATTGTAGCACTTTGACCAGATGATCCTTCCAAAATTACTCCCAAAAAAGAGCTCTTATTTTGGATGGTTGAAGTGGACCCAACTGTTTGAGGAACTGTTGTTGAGGTTGATGAGCCCCCAAAAAGTCCACCTAAAATAGAGGATGCAGTTTGAGATTCGACTCCATGGGGAGGTGCTCCACCAAATAAGCCTCCAAGTAAAGATGGCCCTGTCTGAGATCCAGCAGTTTGAGGAACAGGCCGTCCAGTTTTGGTGGGGCCAACCTGAGAACCATTTTGAGGTGCAGAGCCACCAAATAAACCACCAAGAAATGATGATCCAGGCTGAGAAGCCTGTGTCTGGGGTAACGACCCTCCAAACAATGTCCCTAACAGAGAACTTCCAGACTGTGAAGAGGGTTGAGAAACAGCATCTCCAAAAGTGGTGAATAGCCCTTTGGCTGGGGAGTCCTTTGGGGCTGACAATGCTGGTAAAGATCCTTGAGGTGAAGCCTCAGACTGACTTGTGGAAGGCTCAGTGCTGGGAGAGGAAAATAAAGAATGCAAACCTTTTCCTGGAACTTCTGATGAAAATCCACTTGAATGATGTAGACCTGATCCACTGAGCATAGATAACAAACTGGAAGAAATTGATTCTTTAGGGGGGGCAGAAACCTGCGGTGCACTTGTGCATGCGTCCTTTTGCATAGTGCTTTCTGAGTTAGGTTCTTTAGATGTTCCTTTAACTGTGGCGTCCTCTTTATAAGAATCAGTACTAGGCTCAGGAATCTCACTTGATGGGCTAGCATGCAGTTTGTTTGGGGAACAATTGGCTTTGACCCCTGACAGTTCATTTGATAATTCACTGGTATAACCTGGCTTTGGTGAATTGTTGCTTAAATCAGATGACATCTGGGGTGATCTTTTTTGTGGTGGTTCTTTGGTAGAAGATAGTTTGGGAGTTTGCAGGGGTGATGACATATCTTCATTAAATTTTGAGTCTACATTAGTAGATATTTTGTGTGCTGCAGTCCCAGGGGCTAAAGAAAGGTTTGAATTTGCATTAAACTCTCTAGTTTGAGGAGTTGTGGGACCACCAAACATGGAAAACAAACTTGTCTTCTGACTTTCACTTGAGCCAGATAAGCTGCCCATTATACCCTCAAGAACAGACGTTGCTGCGTGTCCTTGAGTTTTAGGCTGTTCTTGTGGTTTAGTTTGTGCCTGAGACTCAAACTGTTGATGAGTTTGAGACTGATTAACTGTTTTTTGAGATTGCTTAGTTGTTGGTTGTGCTTGTGGTGGGGTGGAATCACTGAACGCTGAAAAAAGTCCCTTAAGAGTGTGTTCAGAAGAATTTGATGACCCAGATCCAACTCCCCCAAGAAAAGATCCAGTTTGGGCTTGAGATTGCTGGGGGCTTGACCCACCAAACATTGAAAGAAATCCTAAAGATGGAGAGTCTTTTGGAGGAATAGCTCCCAGTGGTGTTGTTTCAGCACCAGGCTTAGATTGTTTAGGCGGCTGAGGGGGGCTCGATCCACCAAACAGAGATAACAAACTTTTGCCAAATGTTTCTGGTTGAGGTGGTTGGGGAGCTGCACTTGGTGGATTTGCATGAGACATGGTTTCAGTTTTAGGGACAATCTGTTGATTACTTGGCCCAGTAAACATTGAAAAAATACTTTTACTAAGTGACTCTTCTTGTGGAGCTGTAGCTGGTTTACCTGCCTGAGGTGTGGCACTAGATTGGGCAGATGGTGTCGACCCTACAAGCATACCTCCAATAGAAAGTCCAAAAGGTCCAGCAGATGTTTTATCTCCTACTTCCTGGTTAGTTTGATTGATAAGTGGTTTAATTTCTGACTTGCCTACTGCACGGCCAGTGGAAAAGTTGGGAGGAGGAACTTCTGTTCTATTTTTGGTTTGGATCTGGCTTTGTATATGCTGAGATGTGCTATACTGGTCCACTGTTTGTTGTCTTGGTATGCCCTTAGATCTAGAAGTTGATGAAATAGAACTTTCTGTAACACTAGGTTTAATTTGTGTTTTTTGTGGTGGAGAGGCTTCATTACCAAATAAGGTGCCAATTGATCCAAAGAAATTTGACAAACCTGAAGTGTCTTTGTTTGGAGTAGTATTATCTGGTAAAGAGGTAGTGGTTCCATTTTTACTTTGCAAATTAGGAGATGTCTGAGAAAGTGTCTGGGAATCTGATTTGGTTTCTTCCATTCCTACTGCAGACTTGAGAAAATTCATGAAGCCTGCCTGTGGCTGTTCAGATGATATCTCCACTGGTTTAGCCACTGGCTTATCAGCTGCAAGGGCAGGCTGTGTAGGTTTATAAAAGGAATCTGTTGATGATAAAGATGCTGCCACAGATGGCTCTGTTGGTGGAGCTGCTTGCTGTGCCATTGTAGTCTGTCGTGAAAGTTTTGGTTTCTGCGAAGAGGTATGCAAAAGTGTTGAAGACTGGGTTACTTGAGCAGATGTAGGTATTGTGGGTAAAATTCTTCCCTGTGTGGTGGCTGGCCTGTGCACTGGTTTAGAATATTCTGGTTGGGTCACATCAGTAGGAGAGTTTTCTTTGATAATCTTAGACTTAAGGTTTTGGAAGCTTGCAGACAGAATGTTCTTAGTATATTTTCCAGAGGCTTGATCACACTGAGTTGTATTAGTTTTGTTCAATTCTCCCTGTGATGCCACAAAAGAAGACAGTAGTGAAGAAACCTTTTTGACTTGACAATTGGGCAATTCTTTAACTGGAGACACCCTTTGCCTCCATTCTTCCTCAGAAGTATCATCTACATGTTTTACAATCACACCAGTAGATGAACGCCGCCGCTGGCTGGGTTGATAGCAGTTGTAGAGTTTTTGATGGTTTGAATTTTCCGTCAAAGTAGAGTTTAATGAAACAGAAACCTTTTGGGCAAGAAGCCTCTTGACTTCATTGTTATTCCAACAGGGGCCCATGTGATCTCTGTTATGACATGAAAGGTCAATGACATCTTGGTAATAATCTTGATAGCCATAGCTGGACTGCCTTGGGTCCATCCTGACTTTGTTTAATCTGTAAGATGAAAAGTCTACACTTCGCTGCCCTTGTGACAGAAATGAATTTTCAAACATCTCAGAGAACTGCTCAAGGTTTAAATTCATGATCTGATTTCCTTTTCTATAGGCAGCTGACAAATCTAGAGGTGCATTAAGAAGCTGAGGATCATTGTGATCTTGACCAGGAAGCCAAAGAAGCTCATCTTCATTGTAAAGTGGTATTTTAAAACCACAGACTAAGACCATTTCATTGTGCAGAAAAGCATTGGGTAAATTATCCAAAGTCTGTGTATCCTCGCGTGGCTCACTTTCTGGAGTACACACATACACATATTCACCCATCTCATCTGTAAGCAAGGCATAAATATACTCGTGATCTGTGTAAACAAAATAGCCACAGTCACCATCTTCTGCTGGCCACCACATGCCTTGCTCCAACAGAGCAAGCCACTGCTGATACCATTCAGTGTCTTGAAGGTACAATGAGTCTTCTGTCTCAGTGTTGACACCTGCAAGACAACTTGAATCTACATGTCTGCTAGAATTTAAAGGACCATAATGGTTCATGCAATTAGTGTGAACACTTTGTAGGTTGTCATTATTCATTGCATTATGCCAGTTAGCTGAATAAGATAAGCTTGGTGCATTTTCCTCATAATAGCCCTCATAATATGATACACCATTCAAACTGTAAGAGCTACCATCATTAAATGAATGCCATTTCCCAAATTTTGTATTACTCTGTTTAGTGGTTAAGTTTAGTACACCTTCCATATTAGAAGGATATGCAATGTTTTCCAAGTCCTCATAACTGCTCCATAATTTTCTTTTGGGATGTAAATCTTCATTTCTACATCCTTCAAATGGATGGGATTCCATTTGTTCTTGGTGACATGCACCACTTTGCCATGAAGTCTGGTTAACTGGTTGATTGATATCTAAAAAGCTGCCATGAAGTGTAGATGCTGGTAAAGGATTACATTCGCAGCTTTGTACACACACTTGGTTTTCTACCTGAACATCGTAATTCAATGACTCATTTTGAAACTGCTGCCAGAGAACACTTTCACGGATCCACTGGTTTTCATCATAGGTGGGACTTATCCCATAGTCAGACAACTGACTTTGATAAAGATTCTGATTTGTTGACCCAAACAAAGTAGGGCTACTTCCACCTATATACTGTAGGTTCATGACTGGAGAAATAGTTTGGCTTTGCAAATAAGAATTAATGTTTCCTGTACTACAGGCCATTGAAGGCGGAATTGACTGGGAGTAGAATAAGTGAGACAAGTTGCCGGTGCTAAATGAGGAATGAGCTCCTTGACACTGGAGAGATCTTGTAAAAGCAGTTGAAGTTCGCAAGTCTAAACTCTCAGAATGATCAGACACAGGTGTTCTCATTAAAGTATGTAAGCTAGGTCCTGGATTAACAGATTCTGAAAAAGACCTTGGCAACTTATCCTGTGAAAATTCTGAGGAATTGCCTTTTAAGACATCTGAAGTAAAACTTGAGATGTTGGATGAGGGTTGAAGTTGTTCAGTGTGTTGATCAGACTTTCTTTCTTGGTTAGTACATGGTGAATCAGTTTGGTTTTTGCCAAATAATCCAGACAAAAAACTTTTCCTTGCAGTGCCTGGACTCTTATCATTGATAACATACTTTTGTGACTGTTGTCCTAAATCACTGACCGAGTGAAGTGACTGTTCTGGCAGTAAAGTTTGATATGTGTTTGTAGGAATAGTGCTCTTTTTGTTTGATGTTCGTTCTACTGGTTTCTGAAAGGTCACATGGGTGCTTTCAGCTTTTGCTAACTTGTTCAACAACCCTGATAACACTCCTGATTGATTAGAAGTCTCTACCTGTTCTGAACAAGTCTGGGTATGTGGCACTTTGACTAGATTTGCTTGAGTTTCATATGTGCTTTCATTTTGTTGTCGAGTCATATTTTCTGATGATGACTTGAATAGTCCATTTAGCAGTTCACTTCCTTGAGCTGCTTGTGTTGTGCTACTTTGTAGTTGATTATGTTTTGAAATTGGAAAGTTAGTTTGTCTCGATTGCTCATGACTGGATTTATTTTGGAGAATCTCATGCTGATGCACTATTTTATTTTCTGTGTTTATATTGTCAGCCGAAGCGAATTTGAAAAGACTAGAATGTCCAGCTTGTTGGGACCGATGTTGCTGAAGGGGAACAGTTTGTTGTCGAGTGAAACCAGGTTTACAAGTTTCCAGTTCTGCATGCTGCTGGTTAAATGCCCCGTTTCTCGGATGAGGGCCTCGATTTGGATCATGAGTATCGAGTACACTGTTAGTTTGTTGATCATTTTGAGCACTACTAGATTTGTGAATAGTTTGGCTGCTTGAATGACTTTCAAAGGATGCAAATTTAAGCAAACCAGACAGCAGTCCCTTTGGTTGGTGTTGATTTTGCGGAGTTTCATCTGCGATCTGCTGCTGAAATCTGCTATGGAAGGTTTTTTGCTTGTTAGTTTCAGAAGACTGTACATTGTCTTGTATTGTTTCTGTTGATGGAAACTTTAATAGTCCAGAGAGAATACCACCTTTCTGTGGTGCTGTGGAATGTTGTTGTTCACTTGAATGATGAGGCAGTTGAGAGAGATTACTGCTTTGAATGCACTGATTGCTTTCATGCTGTGGCATAACACCAGATAAGTTGCTGGTGGAACCAAATCTAAGCAGTCCAGATAGCAGTCCTTGCTTATGTTGATTGGAGCCTATCAGTTCTTCAGCTGAACTACCTTTAAGTGGGCATGAAGTAAAATTTTGTGATCCATGCTGATAGGGACTTTGATGCTGTGTATCATGAGGGACTCCTGTTTTCTGATTTGAGGTATATTGTGGGCCAAATGGCACTTTGCTATCCTGAGACTGATGAGTATAGACACACTTTTGGGTTGAAACAGAGGAGGCAGAGGAAGGGTTAAATATGCTGGAACACCAACCTTTCTCACTATTTTCATGGTGCACGGCTGAACTGAGTGGAATAGTTGTAGAACCTGATGAGGATGCATTGCAATATTCTTGTGGATGTTTTTGTACTTTCATAGCAGAACTAATATCTTCAGTAGATGAAAACTTCAAAAAACCAAACAGCGTGCCTCCCTCTGTTTTGCTATTTTGTTGGGTGGAAATATTTTCAGAGGGGAGGAAAGGTAGTTTAGGCTTGCTCCCCAGTGATGGGTCTTCCGCTGGATTCTCTTGTGCAGGATGATCCTCTTGGTTTCTAAACACTGGATACACTGCCAAAGGGGGAGCTCTCTGCGTTGGAAAGACACCAACAGGAGTAAACAGTGAGCTTAATGAATTCTTAAATGGGCTAAAGAATCCACTGTTTGCAGCTTTATTAGTAGATTGTTGTGGCTCTGGAATAGGAACATTTTCTTGCTTGTAAATAACTGGTTTTTGCTTCCCATATAAGTTGTCATTGTAATTTTGGTCAAAAGGTTTATCATGTGATTGACTTCTTTTTGTCTCTGATTTTGTGTCAGTTCTCGCTGATATTTCACTTTGATGATCACTTTTATCAGTTCCCTTTAAATCTAACCTTGTACATTTTTTAGAATTGCTGGACCTTGGCACTTGTTTGTTTTCAGAAAAAATCTTACCATCTGCTGCTGAAAACAGATTTACATTATTAATATTTTCCAAAACCGAGTTTCCTGGAGCACTCTGAGGTATACTGACAAAGTCAGGACTATGATCCCTTGCAATTGTTTGGGTTTGACATCTTGTAGCAGATTTTCTGTCCTGGAGTGTTTTGGTTTGTGTTGGCTGAGGGGATAAACAACTAAATGATTTTTCAGGATAACTTTCTACCGGAGACACAACTGCTACAGGAGCTGTGTTATTTGATTTAGGAATAAAGGAAAAGAGTCTTGTAAGTCCAGACTGTGAAGGTTGTGCCAATGGTGATGGAGTTGGGGGTGGCTGTTTGAGGCCTCCCCCAACCTTGTCAGTGAGAGAACTAAATAATGAGCTCATAGCATGTTTTACACCTGAAATACCCTGATCAGGAGGAGCAAGTGCTTCTCCTTGAGAGTCTTTTGAACTATTTGCATCATCTCCAAAAGAATCAGTTCTATTGCTACCCTGAGAAGACAGCCTTGATTTGTTTGACTTAGGAAGGGAACCATATTTGCTAATTTCCTCCTCTTTTTCAGCAAGATATTCAGAAACCGTTTCAACTAGGCACTGAAGCTCATCCATTGTGTCTACATATTCATCACTTGGCTCTTCTACAGGCGAGAGAAGAGCGTCTGGAACCCATCCCCCAGTTTTTGACTTGCTACACTTTCTCTCGTAAAGACCCTGAGAGTATTCTATTTGGTCCTCATAAGAGGAAGAATGTGTGTCTCTGTAATGTAATGAACTCTCCGAGTAAAAGTCTTCAGTCATAAAAGCAATGCCATCAATAGCTGTATCTGCCCCTGAACAGTAGTTTGTATCCTGATAGTTATCCAATTTAAAATCCAAGTGTGATCTCAAACTATCTTGCTCCTTTTTGTATGCCACATAATTCTCTAAAGTGTTGTCAAGATCATTTTTGGCCCACATCCTTGTTTTATAGATTAGTCCATTCTTGTGTGGCCCAAGGCATGAGGTTATACGCTCCTCTTCTTCCTGCATTTCTGTTACATGATGCATAAACATCTCTCCCCTTTTCTTATGGAGTAAAGCTGTTTCAGACAGAGATGTTTGTCCACCTTGAATGTTTGTTTCTTTTCTGAGGAGCCCTCCCGGGTCCATTATTCTTTTCTTTCGTCGTCTGTCAATAGTCTCATAGCTTTCAGGGTAGGCGGCAGGCAGAAAACCACCATGCTTTACATTTTGACTTATTGGTGGACTTGATGGCGCAGGGTAAGGTCTTCTCATTTGAATGGTTGCACTGTCTTCCTCGTTATCTAAAAAGTCACTCAGCTGAGGCTTTTCTCGACCTTTGTATTTGCTTTCCCAATCATCAACCCCCATGCCAGAATCTACAGGTATTATTCTAACTCTTCCTTTCTGGTTTATAGATCTTATTAAGAAAAAGTTTGACAAAGGAATGTGGAAAATGGAAATAGGGATAGCAAAGATAAAGAAAAAAACAAACAAAGTTAAGCACAGTAAAATAAAAGACAGAAATTAAGACAGGTTTCATGCAAGTGTAAATAAATAATACCTTATTTACAAAACAGAGAGGAAAGTGTGAGTGGACCTCCCCCAAAGGAGGTGTTGAAAAGGGGTTTTCTATGTAAAATAGCTAGACCAAGCAGAAAGCCATTCCAACTTTCACTGAGGTGAGCACACCAAAGGAACCAAGCGGGGAAAATGAAACGGATATTGAGCTTATTCTGGCTGTAATCCCTTTTTTCCCCCCTTTCTCATGTAGAAACATTCAGTTCAGCTTGCTATCAGTAAACACAGACAGATTTTTGTGGTCTCTTTGGTGCAAATGCATTCTGTTAACAAGATTACATTGGATGCACCAAAACTGTCTCTGAGTAAAGACAACATCAAATTATCAGCTGTGTGGCAATTCTAACAGAAATGCTACTTAAAAAAACATTAGTAGAAAAAATGCACCGTGATTTCCAGCTACAGTTATTTTTTATCATTTCACTTGTGTATTAAGATTGTGAGGGAACCATTCAACAAACGTGGGTTGTGTATTATATTCAATTATACTTTGCAATAACAATCTAAATGAACCTCTCTTAAGCAACAAAGTTAAATTGTTTTACTGGGAAAATGTAATGTTTTATAAAACTCATGAGTCACTGGGTTAAAGTGGTGTGCCACTGTCTATACCATCTACCTGCTTCTTCTCTGTTCCCTGTAATCCAGGTCAAAACTGTGGACTGAATCTGTGCAGCAGTCTGGAAGGTGATGTGGCCGAGGCCCAATAGGGTACTGATGCATGGACGAGTTGGGTTGGGCTGTTGTGTGGTAACGAGGAGGCAAACTGTTACTGGTTTCACTACGGTAGTCACTGTCCCGGTCATCAACAGCACTGTCCTGGTCATCCAAAGCTAGAACAGGGAGAAATATTAATTATTTAATGATAAGATACAATTAAAATATATATTTTCTCATCTCTTTAAATGCTAAGCCCTGCAGAAATAAATTAAGGCCAATCAAGTCTATGTTAAAAGGGAAGCTGTAAACAAATTTGAGCAGGTAACCAAGCTAATATTCAAGTGAGTAACTGAATAACTTGCTCTTACAATTCAATGGTACTGAGAGAATTATTAACACCACAATTTATGGATACAATTAATCCAAAGCCAAATTTGTTTGAATTGTACTTATTTAAACCATACTGGATTGCAAACTGTGACATGATGGAGCTCCATCTCCATCACTCCTAGAGTGATTAAATATTCAAACAACAAAAAAAAAAAAAAGCAGAATAAATAACCAACTGGACCACTTTAGAAGTGTACAGGTTTAGGATGTAGCAGCCAATTTGTCTTTGCTAATAAGGACAAATTGAGCAACAGTAAATAAACAAAAAAATAAATAACATCTGATTTTAGTCCAGTTTTCTTCTATGGAAAGAATCGACCAAATTGTATCACTGAATACTAGACACATATAGTTGCAACACAAAGTCCAAGATCCATTCCATAAATAAAACCTACATTTTTATCTCTTTTATCTCTTGACATAAACCTATTAACTGTGCAATGTTTTAAATTTAAACTTTACAAAAAAAGTCACATGCATTGACTATTAAACAGCAACTCATCTGGTTAAATAAAGATTAAATAACTAACTAACTAAAAAAAAAAAAAATAAATAAGTACATAAATAAACAAACAAACAAACAAACTGGATCTGTCACACCTAAACGTGAAGGATTTGTGATATTTAATTAACTTTGACCTAAATACAGTCCTTCTAAATTCTAAAAACCCAGATGCCACATATATACAGTACTATGCAAAAGTTTTAGTCCGGTGTAAAACAAAAAAAAAAAACTTCTGTAAACAGTGTTAATCATTTATTTTCATCAATCAAAAGCAGTGATTGAACAAAAGCAAAATCTAAATCACCCTTTGCCTTCAAAACAGCATCAGTTCTCCTAGGTACACGTGCACACAGTTTTTGAAGAAACTGGACTGGTAGATTGTTCCAAACAACTGGGAGAACCACCCACAGATCTGTGGATGTAGGCTTCCTCACATCCTTCTGTCTTGTCACGTAATCCCAGACACATGCCATGATGTTGAGTTCAGGGCCCTCATTTAGCAATTGTACATAGGCACAGAGGCACAGATCTGTGTGTATTTTGTGTGTGCAAACTATTTTGTGCATTGTGTTGGTTTTATCATTTTTGGCCCTAAATATAAGAACAGCTCTGACTAACAACATCTAGTGGTAGAATGGGGGAACTGCAGTACTAATGGTCTCTCATCCAAGCGTGTTCCTCGTCCACAAATTACCCAATGAGTAATTATGTCAGCGGTGAAACAGTGTTATTGCACAATTGCTGTTGGAACCTATAAAAGACACCAATGACTGACGAGTATTTGACATAGCATGGCTGATCTTGGGTTATTAGAGGATTTGGCATAGCAACCTCGGGAGGTAATATGTCTTCTGTGTGCATACTGATCTGCTTGTTGAGAAAACAGGAGGATTCCTGAGCAGATACACCTTCCTGAAGGAGATCCTGGAGCTATGCCATGTTCTGGGACCTTTTTGGAGCGACAAACAAACCAAATGAATCCAATTCAAGTCCATATTCAATTATTGACAACTTCAGGATTAATTGCCACCTTCCAGCATGTGATAGCAGACAGATTGGGCATCTCAGTCATCACTAAGCCACATTATGCCATTATGAAAACTGCGGCATTTTAAGCCAAAAGAGGAGGCTGCACTCCATAAACCAACAAGTCCAAATGACAACAGAATGGAACACTGAGTCCGTTACCCTTAGTTTTTTCCGTATTCAGTTTTACGTGAAATCATGTTTTTATTTCTGACAGGGACCTCTCTTCTGTCCCGATTATATTTGCAACCTCTGACATTTCCTTTCAGGAGGCATTCTTTAGTTTGCATTTTGTAAATTGATAAAATAAGCAATCATTTTTATTTCTGAAGCATTCTTTGTTAACATTTCTTTTACACCTGCCTAAAACATTTGCACACTACTGTGGCACTGTAGCGGGTGGCGCATATGGTGCTTAAGCCCGTGCTGCTTTTTCATAAGCCCTTGGGTCTTTTGTGATGTGTGGGCATCTTGTTTTGATTCTGGTCCAGTCCTGAAGCTCCGATTTTGAACCGCAAACATTTCAGTCCTTGTGTTTGAAATGTCTTGTTTACATTAATGATAGTTTGCCTTATTGCATTCATATTGTTGAATAAATCTTGAATTGCACAGCACATTATTGCTGTCCTTTCTTCCCCCCATGACCCCTAACCCCCACCCCCGCTACCTGCCTCCTCCTCTCCCACCTTCAGGGCTAAGCCCCGGGTGAATGGAGTCTTACGATCTCTGATTATTACTATCTGGTAGGACATGGTTATCCAGTGATATTGCAGAATGTAGATTTTTGTGTTTATCTATTTATCTGTAAAACAAACAGATGATGGAAGAACCATTTTATCTTGACCCATCTCATCAGGAACTGTACTAAGCAATTTATGTCTGATAAAAATGACACAATGATAATAGGGCAAAAAGTGAAAGTCAGGAAATAAAAGGTCAAAGGTCATCAAGGAAAGCAGCATGGAATATCATGTGTTACAATGAAGAAGTGAAAATAAAATGCATGGGAACCTTTTATGTTACATTTTACTGGGGAATATTACAGCATGCAAATAGGAACAAGGGTTGGCTAGGGAGGGAGGGCCATAAAAGTACTTTACATACTCATGGGGTCAGCCCATCCGAAATAGTTGCCTGGTGAAAGTGCAAATATTACAAATAAGAAGTGAGTGACGAGGAGACAAATACATAGTGTCTCTATTGTGAAAAGGTAGCAAAATAAGGAATGCCTCATGTGGCTCTCATTAAACAGTGTTCCAGCATAGGGCTCTCAGTTGTATTAGTCAGAAATAACAGTCTGTACACGATATACAGCAGAACATATGCAATTAAAAAGTGAAGGAAATAAAGAGTCCTTAATACCAATGATTTGCTTCCACCTAGGGGCTGAGGGATTAAATGAACATGGGGACACTTACAGCACTGGGATGCTGCGAATGGGAGCGGCCCTCTCTGGTCATCATCCTGAAGAGGAAACTGTCAGACAGGAAAATGGAAACAGGTCACAGATTACAGTGTCAGCAGTACTTGTATTGGTTGCAATTTATATCACAATTGTGTTTAAAAAGAGGACAACTCTTGTCCAATTTGCAAATAAAACAGACTAAATAATCTGACCTTTACCTCATCATGGATTCCCATGTTGATGCGCTCAAGCTTGCCCGTCCAGTACTGTGCCTCATCTTCTGGAATGTCTGGAGGTTGAGAACAAAAACATGTCAGGCACAAACTATAACCTATGCTCGCTTCATTTTTCTGTAGCTGGATAAAAATTAATTAAAAAGTAAGAGTGAATGTACAAGCAGAACAAACCTAAAATTTTCAATGCTATAAAAATATATATTTGACCCCTTATAGATTAATCTAGTTTTAACTTTCTTGTCAAGCTCATCAACAAAAGGGTTTTAAGATCAGGTAAAATAGCTGGAGTGAATACAAAATGGAGTTGTCATTTATTAAGAGAGAAAAAGCATTCTAAACCAAATTGTACAAAAGCATTTGACTCCAACACATCAGAATCAGAAAATCAGAATCAGAAAAGGTTTATTGCCATTGTCAGTGAACAAGCAGTTCACAAACTAGGAACGTGTTTCGGTAATAATGTGCTACATATAACATGAATAATAAATTTCAAAAATAGAATAAGTAGAATAAAATATAATAAAACTAGCATAAAACATTCAGCTATAAAAAAGGCAGGTAATGGTAATATGGCCGGTAACGTGACGTTATGTCAAGTACAGCAGACGAACATGGTTGTGTATTTATAAGCTGTTCACAGGTCTAACGGCAGATGGAAATAAGCTGTTCTTATGGCGGGAGGTTCTGGTCTGGACGGACCGTAACCTCCTGCCCGAGGGAAGCGGCTCGAAAAGTCTGTGTCACGGGTGAGAAGGGTCAGCTGCTATCCGGCCTGCACGCCCACGAGTTCTGGAGACGTACAGGTCCTGGAGAGATGGAAGGCTGCAGCCAATCACCTTCTCAGCAGAGCGCACAATGCGCTGCAGTCTATTTTTGTCCCTCACCGTGGCTCCAGCGTACCACACAGTGATGGAGGAGGTGAGGATGGACTCAATGATGGCCGTGTAAAACTGCACCATCATCTGGGCCGGCAGCTTGGCCTTTTTCAACTGCCGCAGAAAGTACATCCTCTGCTGGGCCTTTTTGAGCAGGGAGCTGATGGATGGCTCCCACCCAAGCCCCCACAATGCCGCTCTAAAAATGGTCCCATCCCAGAAGTAAGAAAAATTGTAGCTTCTTCTGGGGAGAAAAACACTTACAGAGAAAATAAAATTAACAGCTGAAATTGCAGAAAATAGTACAGTTAAAGAGCAGACTGTGGAAGAAAGCAGTAATGTGAGAAAAGTGGTCAGTGTATCCTCCAGCAGTCTAAGCCTATAGCAGCATAACTACAGAGATAACTCAGGATAATCTTACCTATTTAGATGGAGGCATGTTGGAGTCAGGGCAAGGGAGAGCCGTCTTTACCGACTGTACACTCCACCTCCCTGTACTCCCCCACTTGTCCAGATTTAGGCTAACATCAGATTTTAACCATAGGCCCTATCAAATAAAAATGTTTTAAGCCTATTCTTAAAAGTAGACAAAGTGTCTGCCTCATGGACTAAAGCTGGGAGCTGGTTCCACAGGAGAGAAGCCTGATAACTAAAAGATCTGCCTCCCATCCTAATTTTAGATATTCTGGGAACCACCAGTAGACCTGCAGTCTGAGAGCGAAGTGCTCGGTTAGGAACGTATGGAACAATCAGATCACTGATGTATGATGGAGCTTGATTATTAAGAGCTTTATATGTGAGAAGCTTAAAATCTATTCTGAATTTAACAGGTAGCCAATGTAGGGAAGCTAAGACAGGAGAGATATGATCTCTCTTTTTAATTCTCATCAGAACTCTAGCTGCAGCATTTTGGATAAGCTGAAGACTTTTAACTACATTCTGTGGACTTCCTGAGAGTAATGAATTACAGTAATCCAGTCTTGATGTAATAAATGCATGAACTAGTTTTTCAGCATCACTCCTGGAAAGTATGCTTCTAATCTTAGCAATATTCTGAAGGTGGAAAAAGGAAATCCTACAAACTTGTGAAACTTGGGATTTGAATGACATGTCCTGGTCAAAGATAACACCAAGGTTCCTTACTTTGTTCTCGGAGATTAATTTAATGCCATTCATGTCAGGCGATTGGCTAAGCAATGTATGTGTTAAATACCAAAAACACACCCGTAACTGAAGCTGCGCCCTATAACACGGTGCACCTTATGGTCGTGAAAATACGGTATATGAAGACCTCTGCATGACCCCTCGACATCTTACCCTCATCTTTGTTTAAAAGTGCTTTTCAGTCCATCTGTCCCAGCGTGCTCTCTATAATTAATGCTTCTCTGGTTTCTGGTCAGGTCCCTGCTTACTTTAAATCGCTGTAATCCACCCGCTTCTTAAAAAACTAAGTCTTGACCGCTCTCTCCATAGCAGCTTCAGACCCATCTCTAAACTTCCGTTCATCTCCAAGATCTTGGAAAAGGTTGTGGCTAAACAACTCACAGCTGCTCTTGAGGTCCAGTGACCAAAGCCTACAGGTTGTGCAGCGCACCAGGCTAAAGACCAACGGTGACAGATCATTTGCTGCTGCGGTCCTTAGCAGGGTTTCCCTTACATAGGCGTAGCCGTGGCGGGCCGCCACGGTTGGAATCCCACCGCCACGCCTACAAGATCCCAAGTTGTTTTTTTTTTGGCGCAGTTTCCCAAAGAAGCAGCGTAGATTACTAAGTTGTCGCTTGTGATCACAGCCGGCAGGCAGCAAGGAGGAGCAGGCAGGGCAAGGTGAAGTTACAGCATAAGTTACTGAGTTGAAAATTAGAAAGGTAGCAGTGGATATAATGCTTTTACGTTTACATGTTTCAATAGCATTAAGATTAACGAGTGTTGACGATCTTGACAGGGTTTCCTCCAGTGCTTACTAGGCCAGGTTTTCCTCCCCCACCAGGCTAATCATCACTTATTCATGTAAAATGTATTTATTTTTTCATGTCTGACTTTAACCGCATCTTATACTGTATTACGGCGTAAGGACAACAGCGACAACTTAAGATCGATGTGTGAGCAGCCTGAGAGGTCGGGTGTTTCATCTGAACCCTTAAAACCTCCAGCAGGCTACGCTGCACTATTGACGTGTTAGCGCCGTGACGTGACATGTCTCGGAGAAAGCGTAGAAACACGCTGGACTCTTCTTCTGAAGTGGGAAAATAACACCTCTTCTTAAGCAGAGCACGACGTCGCCTCGGCTCATTCACCCTCTGCCGAGCCGGACTGAGCTCGATAACAACACTGACCCAGCACAGCCACTGGGTCGTTGGAGCTGCCCCGTGACTGCCTGATGGAAAACCAGCGGGTTTCATCAGACTCGTAAAGTTTCTTGTTTTTGCTGGGGACCCCCTGTATTTTACCGCTCCCTCCTGCAGTCTTCCCCTATTAAAATTTAAAATGATTCTGTTAATTCCCTGTATCAATAGAAACAATCTCTGCCTCTGCCAGCTGCAGTAAATGTAGTCTCCAAATAATAAATAAGAGGTGCATTTATCTGTGTATCTACTTCGATCCGCATTCGTGATATTTTCAGCACCAAAACAATGATGCAAAGAAACAGATGTCTGAGTTTGTTAGTCATTTTATTTATTAGGTGCATCTAACCTGTTCTATTTTTCTCTGAAATGAGATCAAATCAGTGCTTCTATGGGTTGGCCCCTCTCTGCACTAGAAACTTTTACTTTATTTAGAGACATGTCATAATTTCTCCCCAAGCCCCCCCCCCCCCCCCGGCCCCACCGCCACAGCTGGAAAAATTCCTAGGGGAAACACTGCTTAGACTTTGGAACTATCTCCCCCTGAGCCTGAGATCAGTGGACTCAGTGGTCTCCTTTAAAAAGCAGCTGACAAATCATCTGTTCAAGCTGGCTTTTGCGTGACCTTCATATCCTTATTTCTACATATTCTGTCTTTCCCGAGATCCACTGATTTCCCTCTGTCATATTCATTTTATTTCTTCCTTCCTCAATCACTTTTCCAATCAATATTTTTTTCTCATTTTGAAAATATTTCTTAATTATTTTTTTAAGTATTTTTATATTTTAATTTTTTTGATTTGTGAAACACCTCGTGACTTTCATCTATATGAAAGATTGATTTCTTTCTTTTTTCATCGTTCAGCCTACTTCAGGTTGTCAGAATGGTTCTATTGAAGTTATTTCCTAATTCTACAGAGCTGGCACTAATCAGGTCTGGGTATAGCTACTGAACCTGAACTCAAAGCAATCAGAATGACTTTTACCACAAACGACTAGGTTGGCTAGAATAGCTTTCTTCCATTAATTAATTAGATCATCTTTTAAAAACTGCATTTTGTATTAGCTCAGGTTATTTCTACAAATCTAGACTAATCGTAAAAGTAGCAAAAAATGTTGCCCTGAAGGTTGGTCTAACCACGCTCCATCATAGCCTCAGAAGGTCTACCATTGGCCTTTAGTGTCATGCCAATTACAGCACTCTACATTTGTTACAATTCAAAGGACAAAATGCATTTTTATTATGGTTATTTAATTCCAACAATGTCTACTACCTCTGATATGGCTGCTCTCCAGGTACCCTTATCACTCCCATTTTTGCAGAGGATTTAAGCTTCTTGGTGGACATAGGCACATTAAAGGACACCGACACAAAGGCCAGGACTTCAAAGACACTAAAGCTTTAATGAATGGCTTTGGTGGCACAGAACACACGTGAACACGTTCAAAAGCCCCTTCTAAAAACCAGAGAGAATCTATCCATCACTTAGTAGACAGATATCCTGCTTTAACTTTGATGTCCTTTGCTTGAGCTGGTGACACAGTGGCAAAAATAAAAATAGACCAGACAGAGCAATGGTAAACGAAACGGAAAATGCATCAATCGTTGTAGACATGTGATCCTCTGTGTTTGCTGAACACTTAAACTGTTCCGACCTGGTGCATTATAGATGATCCAACCACAAGAGGTCAGGCGTAAATATGCATTTTTGTAACTGCAATAAAATGCGTCACTGAACAGGTTTTTTTTTTCATATGATTGGATCTTAGTGACACATTCAGAATGCAAATAGCAGTTGCCTACGTCACTCAATAAGCTGGATAACAAACAGGACG